TTTTTCATATTTAAACCATCCGATTGTAGACCAGCATGTGTTCCGTGAACGGCATTCTCTCTTGGCGAGCATATCTATTTATGTTTGTCAGTATGTCATAAGGTTCTTTATTCAAGCAAGAAATAGTTATTTGTACAAATAGAGAAGAAAGTGAAGTTTTTCAACTCGAGTGTCAATTGAACAAGAGTTGAAAAACACTTTCTTCTCAAGTTTTATACATAATTTTTTCTGACTCTTCAATCAAAATTGAAAAATGTATGTATGCAATAATGAAGGTTGACACATAGCAATCTAGATACGGGTATGTTAAATTTTAATTGTCATTATTAAGATTAACGCAGGAATTGTTTTTAACTTTCCTCACTAGAGAGGAAAATCACATTTTCTTCACCCTTTTTAGAGACGAAAGTAGTTGTTTCTAAAGGAGTTTCAGAAAAAGTATATTTCTCATCGGGATAAAGAACCAATGACGCAAGAGTCAAATACAACATTTCATCCAAAACCAAGATAAGGGAGAGTATTAGTACATTAGGTTATTGGACACAAAACTAATCCACCCCGAACTTTCTCGCTCATACGGGAAGGATTGCCTGGTATGAACCCCCAGTATCATACATCTTGGACCGCAGAATGTGCCCCACAACAGATCCTTTGTCAACTACAGACAAGAAAAATGTACAGTCAGCCTGTGGGGATAAACAGTGTATCAAAGATTCTCAGAATCGCTGAGCTGAGTGGTTGGGCGACTACTAGACCTGTGGAGTTAGGTGTTCGGGAAATTCTATGAGAAGGGGCTCAGCGACACCTTTGGCAAAAGCGTGTAGTGATCTTGTGACCGTCAAACGTCACGGTGGTTGGACGTCTTCTGCAGTGGTTAAAAGCGGGGGAAGACTCCATTTCCGACAACTTAGAGATTGCAAAGAAAGTCCAAGGACATGCCGAAACAAAAGTCATTGCTATTTCTGCTTTTAAAGAGGTCACATCTGGATTACCAACAAATAGCAATATAATTGGGATGGAAAACCGAGTAGGAACGGCCATAGAGCCCTTAAAAAAACTTTACAATTAAGAACGGCGCTAGGGACAGCGTTTTCATCCGAAATAATTATGTGGTCTACCAAATAAAATTACTGAAACAATCTATCTTTCTGTGGTCTACACACCCTACACACTCTCACCGACTTTCCAATTAATTTTAATGTTAAGGTTAACTTGAATAAATAATATACCAGATGTAAAACATTAAAATATTATCCACTACTATGGATAATGTGTAAGTTTTTCCACTAATATTAAACGGTTTACGATAAAATTGACTGTTTTTATTGCTCATGCTGTTAAAAAAAAGGCAATTCTAATAAAATTAAGACAAGCGTTAATGCTGATCGCAAATGCGGCCGAAAAAGAGGTCGAAAAATGGCACCCTTCGTTTTCTTAATTAAGAGCTCATCTAATTCTTGTATTTGTCATCATGCAAAAGACACTGATACGTTAAAAAAAGGCATTACATTACAATACAATACACATGCAAGCACAATCATCTCCCTGTCAGATCCATTGACCAACTTTCTAGTTTTATTGCATTATTTTGTCAATCTGAACCATGACATCAATTTTGCCGATCGAAACTAACATTTTCATTCATGCTTGTCGATGGGTTCCCAATTATAGTGCGTTTTTAATTTGTAAATTAATGACAGGAAATAAATATTCTCAATACACTAAATAGTCTCGATAACATTAACATCAGAAATTGAATTCATTTCCGTCATGAGAAACGTAAAAATAAGAGAAAGAATCGAAAAATGTGACTGCATTATACACGAAATGACCTTATAATAAAAAAATTCAGAGTTCAAATTGAGTACATTATCGAATTGCAGAAGTTTATTATACTGTATTGGTGAGCAATGACCATCCACTGACCCCGCGTATTTGATGCTTTCCCGGAAGCTGGAACAAAAGAACATCCGGGCGACTGCAGAGGTACCAAGGCCCTATAGTGGTCATCGGTAGGGGTTTAGATAAAAATTACTATCGGCAATTAGTAGTTGGTGTGTGCAGGTGATAGTGACAACACACTTTAAGCGACACTTGTAAGTTAACCTACCCTCATTCACCACTTTTGCATATTGTGATTGTGATTCGTTTATACCTGAATAAATAAATTGTAAAAAATTAATATTAAATATTGGTTTAACGTTGTTCGTGCAAGAACTGTTTTCCAATTTGAACGTATCTCAACCAAATGCGGTATAATTCCCAATGAAGTGTTCTTTTTTGCATCAGTCCTACTGATGGTCGATTAAAATTGTACTTCAGTGAACTGCACGTATTTGATGAGTGTACTGCAATCGATTAAAATTTGAATGACACATTTAACGTAGTGATACTTGAAGCCGGTATCCCAGGTATTCCACATCAAAGTTTCGTGAATGCCGTGGGAAAAACAGCCTTAATGTGTGTATGTGCTCGATCGGTATGATATTTACGGAAAAATGTCTTTGTAGGTATATTGCAACCGGCTTCTCACATGTTAAGTTTACTAAGTACTTCTACACCAAATGTTCATTGGTTCATTTCCATTCCTGCAGCAACCAAACGTAGAGTAACAAACGGTTAGCGAAGTAGTTATTATTTGGAAACATGCAGGTGCTGATGAGGTCAGTTTCTAACCAGTGTACCTTAGATGACTATTTTGGAAAGCAGGATATTCAAATTGTCTTTCGGAACGTTTCGAAGGAAAGCATCTCAATCAACGTTGTTGGCATTTTTGCGAAGTACTAATAAGAATTTTCAGACATTTTAATGGTGTTTTTCCTATGCCGTAGATACCAAAGAAAGAATGTATTTGTAATATTACTAAATCAAAATTAAAAATACCTAGATCAAATCCGCACTTGAGTGTGTCTTACTAATACGATTTTAAAATGTCAGTTTACCTTTGACTCCACCTTGTATCAGGCCCGTTGCACAACCCTATTTGATTCGGGGATATTCCTTATCCTGGTGTTAAGCAACGGGATTGGTTGATATGGTTGACACTATCCGATCAAGTTATAAACATACCCAAATTGAACAAATATAGCAAACGAGTAATGATTTTGAATTTGATGCAATTCGGTTCATAACTAACGGAGATTTAGTTTTTATTTATTTTTTGACCTGCATTGCCAATTCATGAACAACAATTACAAATTTGATAAAGAATCCACCTGCAAAATTTCATCGTAATCGGTCCATTCGTTTTCGAAATATCGTGTTAACGGACAGACGGCCAGACATTGCAAAATTATGAACTCGCTAGGAACTCGTTAATAATGCGTGATTCTTTATTATCATTGCAAAAAAATCATCCTTGACAATTATTTTTTAGGAGAATTTTTCGAAAGAAAAAAAATCCCCTTATGTAGTGGTTTTGTCCGTCTGTCCGTTTGTTCCTCATCTAACTCGAAAACGAAAAGACAACGACCAAACCTTCGACGAGTTCAAGGATCAGTGCCATTGAATATGAGCCGGATTAAAAGTCTGATTTCCGAATGCGAGCTGAGTGGCAAAAAATTACCTTACTCAAAATCGTATGCGATTCTTCGTTTCTTATTCATTTATTTCGATATGTTGACTGTCCATTCTCAAGTTCCAATTTTCTATGACGCGTTCTACTACGCGCACTATGCTAATAGGTGCGCGTTGTTAATCAATAATCATATATTTTACCCGTGAGTACAGAGTGTACCGTAACACAACCTCCTGATAGATGGGGTATCAAACGTTGATATAAACATTAAAGCAGTTCATAGAGAAGGAATGTTTGTCCGGATTATTTTGGCAGCTTTGGTGCTTTAGGGCCCATATGGAATTTTGATAGTTACAAGTTTGTTGTTAATTTCCCCATAGGCAGGTATCCCTTGGTACACCATGCTCATGATAATAATAAAAAAACGATGCAATTAGCTCTTGCAATTCTGGATTCTATTTTATCGGGGTCGAGCTTAATACCTTCCATCTCAAAATAATCTTTAACATACTTATTACTGTTCTCGGTAGTATTACAACCCGATGGCCACCCAGAACTCTAGTGTAATACACAAAAATGGTTGATTATATTCATAACCCGCCAGTTCTACTACGTTTATCGTACTGATCAGTTTCGTACTGCCAAATTTCATACGTTTCCACCACTTTTTAACCTTTTCCTATAGCTTCTTTCACATCGTCGATTATCCACGTACCTGTTAACGCTCTATCGTCAACATTACAGTCCCATAGGTTTAAAGTTTTGGTGCATGTGCGAGAAAGGACAAATATCAGTGTTTTACATTTAATAAGTTCATTAGTGGTCACAATATTTAATTTTCTACATACTTCTCCGATATAAACAGCTGTAGGATGCGCTATGGGGTATTCTCTATATTTCTTCACATAGATATAAGGAGGTAAAATCAATATAACATACCTTATTCGTTCGTCCTCATTCGCTCTGAGTGGTGGATATGACAGTACAGTACAGGGTGTATTTCTGTAAATTATTGCTGTGTCATAAGTCGTCCACAGTCACACCCTCACGCTTCGTAAAGCGCAGTAACCCACCTCTTTTAATCTGTTACATTTTGCAATGGTGTGGTGGCTTCATAGCGGTATTCGAGCTCTCCGATGTACCTATTAAGTTACAGTTGTGTTTCTTGCATATTTGAAGCATCTGGGGCAGTCACACCGGTAGACCTAGGATACATCCCACTCTGGCCTCCTTTTGCCTAGCCGAATGATTGTTTTAGTTTGTGGTTACGCTCTTCTAACAATAACCACCATTTTGGAATTATTCCAATTGTGCTTCATTTTAAAAACGTGGAAATATTTTGTTAGACTCCCCCGGTAACGTCACGCTAACGGTAAAAGAAAAATATGACATTTAAGATTTTTAGTCTAACAAAATTCTTGCAAATTCCTTTTTTAAATTGTTCATTTTTTTAGTAAACAATAAGTCAGAAATTACTGTTGTTTATTAACACAAACTGTGCAAGATACATGAATTTAAGCTGTTAGCTCGGGAAGGTACAACTCCGGTACGTGAAATCCTAAGACTTCGGGCGTTTCTATGCCCAATTCCTCAAGAGTTGGACCAATTTCTTGAAGTATGTAAGGGTACAACTTATCAAACTCCGCCGTGCAGGTGCATTTAAATCTGACCATTTCAAGAAACCGTATTGCCACCGAGTATTCGTTAATGCGGCGGCATGCGTACAACGCCGATATGATGATGCGCGGATCCGGTATCATGTCCATACCGGCAAGATCGTTCATCGCCTGACGGACGTCCCAGCCGTCAATGTCTCTTCGACAAAAAAAGCACTCGTATCTAAAAGGAAAGTTAAATTAGATACGGGATATTGTTTAACAGCAGGCCCTTTACGGTTAGCCTCTTAACGATACTAGTCCACTATTACTTAGATGTTTTCGAGTCTTTCTCTTCTTGTTGTAGAAATTATACCTTTTGAATGCAAAACTATCGGACATAGTGCATAAAAAGACGTTGAATACTAGTATTAAAAATTATGACCATAATACGAGGGAAAGTCAGTAAGTTGGTGACAAAAAGCTATTATAGACAACAGTCTCCATTTACATTAATGTGCGCATCCCAATTGTTATCCCCTGCAACGTGTTTTTTGAGTGAACCAAACAGATAATAGTTCCGATTCCCCATAAAAACATTCAAATTAAATTTCTGTCGATAAAAAGATCAATGCTAATATTGTTAATTTATTAAAAACGATTGAAAATTCACAACACAATGCTTGTAACATTGATAGTTGCACTATTATGCTGAACCAATCGAGGAGAAGAAACACCATTTTGTAGAGAAATTAATTGTCTATAAATTTGGTGTGAGAACGTATGTCCTACAATCTCCATTTTTTATGTTAAAAAATTCTTGAAACGTTTTCCAACGCCGTCAGTTGACGCGCACGTCGTGAAAATGGAATTTCAACATACCACGGTAAGCGGAAATTTTAGGCGAGAAGCTTTTAACTCAAACGATAAGAACTAGCCACCTCTGTCGGCACTCACCAATTGCTACATTGCAATTTTTTTGTTCGAAAATACTATTTTAGATACAAAAGAAGCATACAACAAATGTGAAATTTTGACCATTTTTTGTTCGGTAAAAATTGCATTTGGCATTATTTGACAGCTTTCAGAAAATCAACGGGGACTCATTCTGTTCCTGCCCCCCAATACCAAATTTTATAGGGATTTAGTCATCTTGGTGAAAGAATGTTAGAAACTTTTTAAAAAAATGATATTACCTATTAGTAGTGTACAGGGGATCGACAACTTGTAGAAGGTAAAGAGCGATTCAGAAAATTCAGCGTCCAGTTGGGGGTGATAAGTTGTTTATCGCGAACGAACCTCAATACATTGGTCAGACGGACCTATCAATTAGAACCATTAGATTAAATTAAAAATTCAAATGTATAATTAAGCGAATTGTCAGTTACATCGTATGTTCAAAATGAAACGTCCATTGCTAACTTTCGTTTATAAGTGATACTCTTTTATTGGGGCTTACGTAACAATTTTGAATGTTGTTTTTTGCACATTCTTGAAGTTTTACTAGAGTAGGCAATGGTACAATGCTATAACAAATGATCAAGCTTCCTCGTTTCTTCTCGCAGGGGACTTTGCTCTGACTTGTGTGCTATATTGGAAAGTTCTCCTCTGTTATCTAAAGGCATTTCCGTCGGTCCAAAATCTTCCTCTTTAATTTAGGAGAAAAATTCCTGTTATACCTTAAATCCATGCATGGCGTTTTTGAGGTGTCGTAACTTGATTTAAATACCTGCCACTTGACGCTGTAAGCGCTCTTTAAATGTAATAAAGGTGAGAAGGTCCCATCTAGGCTAACATATGGTGTGGAGTATTGTTATCAAGACTTAAATAGTCAGGGTTTTTCTGGGACGATTTAATAAATTGACGAATACGAATACAATTACCTTTTTATCAGAATAGAAAAAGGGGCCTCCTACGGGAATATTCTTTCGCATCTGAGAATTCATCATCTTTCGTGCAAAAACAGTGGTACATAAACTGATGAGTGATGACTATGACTATGAGGCACTGAATGCGCAAGTAGGTAACCGTAACATTTTCACATTTCTCAGCTAGTCACAAACCCAACTTGCGTTTGTCCTTTTGAAACGATCGTTTTATTTGACGCTTGTTGGGTGTGACGCCTGTAACTTGGTTAGAACCTCTTACAAATCGTAAATTCTTTATCATTTAAAGAGGTCACTCTACCTTCCGGCATTGTTACTGGATAAATCCTGGCAATCAATCGGCTCCTGCGTCTTTTTCCTGATTCAAATGATGTGTAGGGTTTTCTTTTCAGCGTGAGCAAATGAACCTCACGTCACATCAGCGCTATGCTTTTCTTTGAAAGAGAATAATGTGTTTCACCGTAACCAACAATATCTTTAAAATGCAACCAAGCAGGCATGAATTTTTTTAGAAACAACTGCTGTTACGGACAGTGCCCTTTTAAAACGTATACCGTTTGGTAAAAGATGGGGTTACAGTGAAACAACTCGTATTTAAAACTATTAGACGGTCACTGCCACTATTCCCCTAAGTTCCCTTACAATCAACTTTCAAAAATGGGGTTCGAGTACGCAATGGGCCAAATTTTATTTCATGTTTTTTACTCCACGTTGGTCAGTATGAATACAAATTCAGATTTTGCAGTCAGAGAGACTAGGAAACTACCTCCTTTTACAACTTATATAGTTATAGCGCAAATGTGAATTGGAACTTTTTATCATAATTTGAGGATTCTACGCACCAAAATTAATAAGAAAAAGTGTTTTCCCAAGAAATTTTGGAGTAGTCGATTTTTGGTAAAAAAGGAAGGTTATACACTGTATTTTTTGAGGCAAGAAAAAAAAATTTTCTGAGATCGATCGGAAAAAAAACATTTTCTTATAGAATTTGGCCCGTAGAATCCATAATTTCAAACAGTTCCAAGATTGGGCTACTAGTTCGAAAATTACCTACAGTTTTTTGTCCATAACTTTTGATTGAGAGGTCTAATCGAAAAAGTACGAATCGTTTCGAGTACTCTCATTTAAACATTATACAATTTTGGAAAATAGTAATACGCTTAAAATTGTATGCAGGTGAAAATTTTGTCTAGAGCATTGAATATATTTTCAAACAACATTTTTTAAAAGAAGCTTTTTATAGTATCCAAAATCATATAAAGTTTGCTACCAATCTGCGTACTGTAATATTTCTTTATATAGCAACCACTAGTTTCAATTAGATATTCTTTTTTTATACTTTTTTTTTGATATAGCAGCTTAAAAATCTAATTGCATTACATACTCAAATTTAAGAGAAAAACTTTAATTAAAATGTTTTTATGTTTTCATAAAAAAAACGTTCATTTTTTAATAGTACCTCACGAAAGCTAGCGCTTTCCATTAAAAAAGTGCCCCTCTTAGTTCTTGGGACGTTTCGATAAACGCACGCCACTATAAAAAATTTTTAAGAGTGTAGATTTCAGATGTAGATTTTTTGTAATGATTTTTGACACAATAAATTGCTTACATATAACTAACAAAAGAATAACGGCCTTCCATGAGAATACCATGAACGTGTGGAACGTGTGTTCACTCCCCGCCGCACGGCTACGTATTGCAAAAAATTCCAAGACTCTAGGACCATTCCCTAAAAATTCCAAGACTCTAGGACCATTCCCTTAAAAATAGTTCAAATCCGCAGAAATGGGGCCGGACGGACAGACAGACAGACAGACGGACGGCCGGACAAAACGCAAACAATAGCACATTTTTTTAATTCTTAAAAAATGCGCTAAAACACCAAAAAGTCCTTATATAAATTCTCTGATGTGAAATCAAAGATTTATATGAATAAATTTAAGATACCTACTTTAAAGATCAACATTTTAATTGTTATAATAAACTGTTTATCTCCACGGTAACTATACATGCATATAAGACGTTAATAGCGTTATAATAGAGTTGAGTTTATGGTAACGCTTTAATTCAGCTTAAAAAATCGGGCCCAGGAAAAGATTGGAGCCGTTACTAACGCCTTACGCACAAAAGTAATGGAAAATCGAAGCCGCTTGGAAAAGTGTCAATGGCTAAATTGGCAACTTCTTGATATGATTTTCCATACATGGATTTACAGAAAATGTATATTTATATAATTATACGTTTTAGTTGTTTGATAAAACTCCAGAAATAGATATATGCTGATCCTAGTGCTGATCTGTCTTACCTGTGAATTCGATCTGAAATAGATTCACGTTCAAGATCGTGATGTGTTATTTTTCTAGCTTGAGGTAGCAGAATTTTAGACGCCCTCTGAAGTATTCGAAAACTTGTAGATCTCAACAGCGCCATTGTCAATTTCAATACCTGCAAAGTTAAAAACATTAGTCAATTGTTCTTTGTTTTTTACTTAAAATTCGGACATTCTACTAAAATATTATAATATGCATGTAATGTGTCATTGACGTTATGGTCGGGTACTTGCATCCGATGGGCAGATTAGAGCGTAGGTTACACCGTGAATTTGTTCCAGCCCAGGATGCTCGTTTCCTGTCTTTTTACAACGGGCAGCATTGCAAAAATTGCGTTAATAAATGTCTAATAATAATATAATCCCTACACGCGTTTCTACCTCTGAATGAACTTTCGGTAAGCGCACATACACACGCTAACGAAAAGGAAGCGTAATCGTGGGAATTTAAGCGGTGATTTTGGTCAAATGGAACTGTACAAAAGATTTCCGTGTGAATCGTCACCCATCATTGATCATTCTTAGGGTCGGTAATCGATGGCCCATCGACGATTATAATTGTCAACTGCCGAAACCATTGGCTCCAATCTCTAAATCTATCCTTTTGTTGAACTAGGTGGGCAAAAGAATGTCCAGATAGTGAACGCAATTACATACACGTAAGATAGGAAATCAAAATGAGAAACTACCCTTTCATACCCAACATGGTCCAAGCAATTACGGTTCTTACTGTTCTAAAAATGATGACAAAAGGTACGATATCCATAATCCGAAAGCAGAAAAGGTCAAATATTCTTCTTGTAGCTCAAACATCTTGCGGTACGGGTTCCATGAATGGTAAAGTAATGTATGAAAGATTACCCAATATTCAACTGCAAGGATTCGACGATGATATTGTGCGAGATACTGCTCCTCCATTTATGGTCCTCGAAAAATGTCAAGATCTATGTCTAAGAGATAGGGCATCAAATAATATTGTCAGAACGTGCACGTCATTTGATTTTCAACCTGGAAGTCGTATAGCAACGTATAACGGAGGTCCAGAATACGAAGAATCTACGTGTTATCTTACGAGAGAACAGGCGGCTCCAGAAGGAATTGGAAATTTGATGACAGTACCAAACAGTGTGCATTTCACGGAAGTCTGCGTCACCTGTACGTAACACTTCGTATTGCTTAGATTGTAATATACTTGTTTGTTTAAATTAGCGAATCGACCAGAAAGAGAATGCCCGAACAGAAGATACATTTTTGAACGACATCCACGGAAAAAGTTAAAGCTACCTGCGGCAGACATAAAAGAAATGACTGCATCCAACAGAAGCGAATGCGAGGACAAGTGCTTGAACGAGTTTAGCTTTGTATGCAGATCTGCCACATTCGATTCATCCATGAGGACATGCATTCTGAGCAGATTTACCCGGCGCACCCATCCGGAGCTTCTAGAAGACGATCCAAGTGCCGACTACTTGGAAAACACGTGTTTGAATGGTAATTGTACAACAATTAAATTTTGAAGGTAACATTCACTTTCCACAGCTGAAAGACGGTGTGATGGTCTGGCGGTTTTTATAAAGGAGGAAAATAAAAGACTAGGTGGTCCATTTGAAGTTGACTTGTTCACTAACATAACACTGGAAGATTGCCAAGCTATGTGCGTTCGGGCTGAAAAGTACTTTTGCCGTTCCTTGGAGTACGATGAGATGACCAAACAGTGTATTTTGTCCGAGGAGGACTCGATCTCACAAAAAGACGATTTAGGTGTTAGTAGCAGTCAAACACATCATTTCTTCGATTTCGCATGTTTAGACAGTCGTTAGTATGCACTAACACTCTTGATACCTCTCTATTGAAACATTTTAGCTCGCGGATCCGAATATCCCGATAATTCCGTTACCTCTCACTTATTCAGTGGCAAGCGACCAGATACCGCATTTCAAAGGTACAGAAATAGCAGATTGGGAGGGGATCATCATTCCGAAATTTCTGGACGGTCGCTTAGCGAATGCCTGGATGAGTGCCTGCGTCAGCCTAGTTTTCAATGTAGATCGGCAGTTTACAGTGAACGGTACAGAACGTGCAGATTGAGCCGATATAATCAAAGGGATGGAATGAGGATTATATATGACGCAGACTACGATTACTACGAAAATCTAATGCGTACGTATGGCGACATTCGTGTCAAAACCCCTATTATTGTTAGAAGTATATCAAAACGATTCCAGATTATGTAGTCGGTGGGGATGGGGACGGAAGTAGGCCGCCAGGGGAGAGCGGAACGTCACGTCCGGGAGAAACGTACCCCGGAAGCCATCATAGACCCGGAATTTATTCTCCCAGCAGCCCTGGCGTTGATTATTATCCGGGAGGGAAATACAAGCCTGGAAGGCCTTACCCAGACTACCCTGATAGATATCCGAACGACATATACCCGGGCGATAGAAGACGACCTGTTCGCCCATTATATCCTGACGATGATAGACGCTATCCCATTGGGCCACCATACGACAGATACCCACCAAGTGGGAGTGGAAGTAGATACCCACCCAGTGGAGGAGGAAGTCGTTATCCACCTACTACAGGCAGCCGATATCCTACAAGTGGGGGAGGAAGTAGATATCCTTCAAGCGATGGGGGATCCAGATATCCTTCACCCGATGGAGGAAGCAGATATCCGCCTAGTGGCAGCGGAAGTAGATATCCCCCTAGCAGTAGTGGTGGCAATAGATATCCTTCTTATGATAGGTACCCCGTTTCTGTGGGCGGTCGCTATCCCTATGATAAGTATCCTACAAGTGGTACGGGAGATCGGTACCCTCAAGATGGACGTTACCCACCTAGTGACAAATATCCAAATTATCCTCCTTCAGGTGGTGGTTATCGTGATAGATATCCGAATAACGCATACGATGACAGGTATGACAATCGGTATGGTAGTGACTATGGCGGGCGGTACGGTGGGTCGGATGACAGAAAAGAATTCGATTACAAATATTATTGGGAAGGGAAATTCTTTAAGAGGCCAGAAAAACGGCCCAATCGTCCATTTGATAACAGACCGTACGATGATGATCGCCAATATCCAAATGACGTAAGACCATATGATGATCGGCGACCGGTTTACACATATCGTCCCAGCGATGGAGATAGAGGTTACGACCATCGACGACCGTATGATGGCCGTCGGCCAACAGACGTGCGCAAACCAGCCATCGGAGGAGATCGTCGTCCATTTGGTGGAGCATACGATGAACGACCTCCTTATGATTTTAGACGACCGTTTTCTCCCGGTCCAGATGGGCCTATATACGACGGAGATTCTCTAGGAACTCGACCCTATGGATACCGTTGCGAGGAAGGGGATAGTTTTAAACAGACTGGGGCAAGACATCGCTTACGGAAGCAGTTCGTCCGTCGATTTATAATCACCCGAACCGTAGCCGATTGCGAACGCGAGTGCACAGACAGTAGAGACTTCACTTGTAGATCGTTTAATTACAGGTAAGTAAGACGATTACATCACGGAGTTAATGAAACACATTCTGTATAGAGACACTGCCACTGGGTATGACGGCGATAAGGAAAATTGCGAACTTAGCGACAGAGACACAAGAGATTTAGAGCTTGACAATCCTCAGATTTTCGACACAACTGGTGGATTTAATTACTACGAAAGGGCACTAAGCCGCACAAACGGCGACGGAGACTGTTTAGATGGTAATATTTATGTCTCACATTCCGCAAAAAATACTATGATCCGTTTTAGTGCGTCAAATTTGCAACGAAGATGGCATGGAGTTTACGCTAATAACACCAGAAGGATTTTATGGTAGAATATATGCCTATGGGTTCTATGATAGATGCTTCATAAGGGGAAACGGAGGGGTGAAACATATACTTAGAATAAGCGGTGCACAGGGTTATCCAGAGTGTGGTACACAGAGATATGGAGACACTATGACCAACATAGTAGTAGTACAGTTTAGCGATCACGTGCAAACTGGCGTAGACAAGCGATTTAATTTAACATGCCTTTTCCGTGGCCCAGGTGAAGCGGTTGTATATTCCGATTATATTGGCGCGGGGTAAACATTGCAATAACACTTAACCCATGCCAATGCCTTTGTTTTAGATCCGGTAGTCCCATTCCCATCGAATATCTTCCAGCAGAAAATACCTTAAGCTCTAAAGTACGGCTGCTCATACTCTACCAAGGCAGGCCAACAACTACCATCGCAGTAGGAGATCCATTAACGTTCAGGCTAGAGGCGCAGGATGGCTACAACTATGTTACAGATATTTTCGCAACGAATGTAATTGCAAGGGACCCGTACTCGGGAAGATCAGTACAGCTGATAGATCGAAGAGGGTATATGCTTAATGCTCAATTTTCTAAAAGATTAACGTGACTTTTAGGTGTCCAGTTGATCCCTACGTTTTTCCCGAATTGGACAAGGGGCGAAGTGGAGATAGTTTAGAAGCCCGATTCAATGCGTTTAAAATTCCGGAATCAAATTTTTTGGTCTTTGAAGCAACTGTGCATACTTGCAGAGATGGCTGCAAGCCAGCATTTTGCGAAACTGGGCGTGGACGAGAAGAGCCTTCATTTGGTAGAAGAAAGCGTGAAATAAACGATACTATTGTATTAGATAGTAATAACACCTCATCAGATGCAGAATTTACAAAAAATGAAACTGCCATTTCCCTTACTGATACCAAGACAGACGACGAATCCGATCTAGAATTTGTACGAGAAATGATAGAGGTTGGTACATAGATGAATAACAGAGCTACAATTATCATGTACCATACTATTTCGCAGGTATTTGAATCTCGTGAAGAACTACAGCAGGAAGCTAGGAGAGCGGTACCTTTGGAAGAATCGGTATGTTTAACTACAGGAGAGTATAAAGGACTCGTAGGAGCGGTGTTATCCCTCATAATATTGCTCGTGATTGTGGCAATTATTGCTGGAGTAGTGTACAGGCGCTATTGGAGTGTAGTTAGAAAAAATTTTATGGCAGACAGAGACTCTACTAGCTCCTATCCAACAAGAAGTAGCGGTTTATCCACGCTATCAATTTTTGGAAGTGGATTACAAAAACCGTTTTCAGGATTCATAAAAACGAAATCGTTTCCTAGTATGAATAATCAGGATTTGGACATTCCATGCTCCGGTCCCGGTGGCCCATTTGAAGATCCAAGTGAACCTATTTATACTGACCCATCACTTTTCGAAAGATCGCGAAGTTTAAGAAGTATCGCGGTCTCTCAAAAACGAAAGCTTTCTTCTCATCAGCCAATGTAATTAGGATGAATCGCAGAAAATTGTACCGTATGAAGAATGAAAGAATGAAATGTAGTAAATTTCTTATTTATTTGCACCACTATATGCAATACTTATACATGACTGGCACAACACTACCACCTATTTCGCAATTCCGCACAAAATTGAAAAGTGCCTGACTATGGAATAAAAGATGCAATAATTTCCACTGCCTACCTACCCGCTCAGAAGTGTACTTGTGATTTTAGAATATGTATGTACGATTATAATTTTAAGTATTAAAACTCGTATAAATTCAGAAAAGTAAAAGTGTTTAGATTAAGCTAGTTTGGTATCGTAACTTAGGTACTTAAATGAAAATAACTACATCTTGCAAACTAACTATCTAACAGAGCACCGTGTCCTTATAGTTCATTTGTAGACCCTTGCATTAAAATAAAAATGTTTCATGTCAATAAAAGTGTTTATAACAAACGGTAATTTATTTATTCCTATCAAAAAAGTATCGCCAAAACGTGCCCAATAAGACCAAACGTTGAAATGACAATTACAAAACGTTGGAAGTGATAAACTATCAATTCAGACGTGTTTTTTTCGTTCCGCTCAATAACGTTTGCTAAAAGAGTTAAGGTAATGGAATCATGAACAATGTAGTGAAATATGTTGGGTTCCTTAATTTATTGTGGGTTTATTTTAACCACCATTGTGAGTACGCAAGCCGGGTACCAGATGAAACCAAATGAAGAGTATTGGAGATCAGCCAGAAAATCCTCAGAACATAATCATAATTTTCAGGTAAGAACATTAGTTAAATGTAACTTGAATAGCAAATGTTACAGGCAAAAAGAACAAACATCAAATGCAGGAATGAAGGCTTTAAAATACCAAGCTTGCACCCAAACAGGTACTTCCAATGTAAAAGATTTATGAGCGATTTATATTTAGAATACCGCCGATGTAGAAAAAGTACAAACACTTTTTATGAAACAGAGCAAAGATGTATGCCAACAATAGGAGGGGGTACTGTAACGTGTGTAATACCTAAAAAGAAATGCCCAAACAATATACAAGGCGCAGTACCATTTCCAAACTCCATAAAACCAAGACACTATCTAGTCTGCTTACCAAGTTCGATTCACATCTGTAAATGTGGCACCAATCAAATATTTGATATGTATATAAAAGAATGCAGGGAGCTATATCACCCAACTTATATAGGTAACGATACTTCAGGTGGTAAGGTACAACCAATAATTTGCCAAAAAAGGGGAATAAATCAAATAACATACATACAAAGTCCAACATTAAAGAGGTGTGAATTGTACTGCGAAATAATACATTCAAAAAATTACCCTCCAGATTATTACTATGTGCTACACATCGTTTGTATAGGAACTGACCCATCCACAAGTGAACATAACATGATATCAATAACTACAAACGGTGACCGTACCGACAGTGTAGAAAACACAACAACGAGATCGGTCTACACGACAACAGAAAGTTCAAATTACACACACGACTATCCACAAACGCCAGGAACCACAGGGGATGAAACATCAAAATACATCCACTCGATCACGGACGAAACTGAAAAAACAAGAAGTGTGGCATACAGTCATACCACACCGAGTCGCACGACTGAAGAAAAAACATCGAGGTACACTCACGTCAATCCCCATACCCAAGGAACCGTAGTAGAAGAAACATCGCAATACACCCACACGATCACGGACAAAATTGAAGAAACGGAAAGTTCTAAAAGCAGCACATCGAGTAGGGCGTACAGTCATACCCCACAAGGTCCCACGACTGAAGTAGGCAGTTCGAGGTACACTCATGCGTATTCCCATACCCAAGGAACTGCAGTGGAAGAAACATCAAAATACGCCCACTCCACAACGGCAAAAACTGAAGAAACGGAAGCAACGGAGACAGAAGAAACCGAAATTACTACAAGCAGCACATCGCGTAGGGCGTACAGTCATACCAGACCGAGTCGCACGACTGAAGAACGCAGTTCGAGGTACACTCACGCGTATCCCCATACCCAAGGAACTGCAGTGGAAGAAACATCAAAAAACGCCCACTCCATAACGGCAAAAACTGAAGAAACGGAAGCAACCGATACAGAAGAAACCGAAATTACTACAAGCAGCACATCGAGTAGGGCGTACAGTCATACCAGACCGAGTCGCACGACTGAAGAACGCAGTTCGAGGTACACTCACGCGTATCCCCATACCGAAGGAACTGCAGAGGAAGAAACATCAAAATACGCCCACTCCACAACGGCAAAAACTGAAGAAACGGAAGCAACGGATACAGAAGAAACCGAAATTACTACAAGCAGCACATCGAGTAGGGCGTACAGTCATACCAGACCGAGTCGCACGACTGAAGAACGCAGTTCGAGGTACACTCACGCGTATCCCCATACCGAAGGAACTGCAGAGGAAGAAACATCAAAATACGCCCACTCCACAACGGCAAAAACTGAAGAAACGGAAGCAACGGATACAGAAGAAACCGAAATTACTACAAGCAGCACATCGAGTAGGGCGTACAGCCATACCAGACCGAGTCGCACGACTGAAGAACGCAGTTCGAGGTACACTCACGCGTATCCCCATACCCAAGGAACTGCAGTGGAAGAAACATCAAAAAACGCCCACTCCATAACGGCAAAAACTGAAGAAACGGAAGCAACCGATACAGAAGAAACCGAAATTACTACAAGCAGCACATCGAGTAGGGCGTACAGTCATACCAGACCGAGTCGCACGACTGAAGAACGCAGTTCGAGGTACACTCACGCGTATCCCCATACCGAAGGAACTGCAGAGGAAGAAACATCAAAATACGCCCACTCCACAACGGCAAAAACTGAAGAAACGGAAGCAACCGATACAGAAGAAACCGAAATTACTACAAGCAGCACATCGAGTAGGGCGTACAGTCATACCAGACCGAGTCGCACGACTGAAGAACGCAGTTCGAGGTACACTCACGCGTATCCCCATACCCAAGGAACTGCAGAGGAAGAAACATCAAAATACGCCCACTCCATAACGGCAAAAACTGAAGAAACGGAAGCAACGGATACAGAAGAAACCGAAATTACTACAAGCAGCACATCGAGTAGGGCGTACAGTCATACCAGACCGAGTCGCACGACTGAAGAAGGCAGTTCGAGGTACACTCACGCGTATCCCCATACCGAAGGAACTGCAGAGGAAGAAACATCAAAATACGCCCACTCCACAACGGCAAAAACTGAAGAAACGGAAGCAACGGATACAGAAGAAACCGAAATTACTACAAGCAGCACATCGAGTAGGGCGTACAGTCATACCAGACCGAGTCGCACGACTGAAGCAAGTACTTCGAAGTATACTCAGTATCCGCGTTCACATGGAACCACCGCCAGAGAGACAACGAAATACATTCACTCGACTACGATATTGACTGACGGAACGGACGTATCAGAAGATGAAACCAGTACATCGAATACTGATACCACGTTAACAGAAACACTTTGGACAGAATTAACAGAACGTACCTCCTATACAGAATATGAAACTACCTTTACCTCCTCTGAAACAACAGCAGATACACAAACCACAATCTATATAGATATGACTTCAACAGAAGTATCATCTTCTGAATCTGGAGAGACATCAAGTACTATTGAAACTAGTAGTACACCGTCTACGTCTAATACAGAATCAACTGTAGAGACAAGAAGTACAATATGCGGTAATACCGAGAGCTCCTCCACGGAAACATACTCCACGGGAGGTACATCAACTACAATGCGTACAGATACCAGTTATATTTCCACCATACCTTCTACAGAACTAACGGACGATACATCAGTTGTAATGTCCACGGGGCTCGAAAAGACCACCGACACTTCGAATACGGACATTACAGAGGAGAGCAGTAGTCGAATTTCCGCGTCTAGTACTTCAAAATACACCCACTCGGGGACTCCAGGAGACCACACAGGAGGATATTCCCGAAGTACGAAAATGTCTGACACCAGCGGTTCAAGATATACCCATCTGACATCAGAGAGTGAGGAGACCATCGACACTTCGAATACGGACATTACAGAGGAGAGCAGGAGCCGAATTTCCGCGTCTAGTACTTCTAAATACACCCACTCGGGGACTCCAGGAAACCACACAGGGGGATATTCCCGTAGTACGAAAATGTCTGACACCAGCGGTTCAAGATATACCCATCTGACATCAGAGAGTGAGGAGACCACCGACACTTCGAATACGGACATTACAGAGGAGAGCAGTAAAGGAGTATCTACGTCTAGTGCTTCCAAATACACTCACCCGGCGACTCCAAGTGACCACACAGGGGGACATTCCCGTAGTACGAAAATGTCTGACACCAGCGGTTCAAGATATACCCATCTGACATCAGAGAGTGAGGAGACCACCGACACTTCGAATACGGACATTACAGAGGAGAGCAGTAGCCGAATTTCCGCGTTTAGTACTTCTAAATACACCCACTCGGGGACTCCAGGAGACCACACAGAGGGATATTCCCGAAGTACGAAAATGTCTGACACCAGCGGTTCAAGATATACCCATCTGACATCAGAGAGTGAGGAGACCATCGACACTTCGAATACGGACATTACAGAGGAGAGCAGTAGTCGAATTTCCGTGTTTAGTACTTCAAAATACACCCACTCGGGGACTCCAGGAGACCACACAGGGGGATATTCCCGTAGTACGAAAATGTCTGACACCAGCGGTTCAAGATATACCCATCTGACATCAGAGAGTGAGGAGACCCCCGACACTTCGAATACGGACATTACAGAGGGGAGCAGTAGTCGAATTTCCGCGTCTAGTACTTCAAAATACACCCACTCGGGGACTCCAGGAGACCACACAGGGGGATATTCCCGAAGTACGAAAATGTCTGACACCAGCGGTCAAGATATACCCATCTGACATCAGAGAGTGAGGAGACCACCGACACTTCGAATACGGACATTACAGAGGAGAGCAGTAGCCGAATTTCCGCGTTTAGTACTTCTAAATACACCCACTCGGGGACTCCAGGAGACCACACAGAGGGATATTCCCGAAGTACGAAAATGTCTGACACCAGCGGTTCAAGATATACCCATCTGACATCAGAGAGTGAGGAGACCACCGACACTTCGAATACGGACATTACAGAGGAGAGCAGTAGCCGAATTTCCGCGTCTAGTACTTCTAAATACACCCACTCGGGGACTCCAGGAGACCACACAGAGGGATATTCCCGAAGTACGAAAATGTCTGACACCAGCGGTTCAAGATATACCCATCTGACATCAGAGAGTGAGGAGACCACCGACACTTCGAATACGGACATTACAGAGGAGAGCAGTAGCCGAATTTCCGCGTCTAGTACTTCTAAATACACCCACTCGGGGACTCCAGGAGACCACACAGGGGGATATTCTCGAAGTACGAAAATGTCTGACACCAGCGGTTCAAGATATACCCATCTGACATCAGAGAGTGAGGAGACCACCGACACTTCGAATACGGACATTACAGAGGAGAGCAGTAGTCGAATTTCCGCGTCTAGTACTTCTAAAAACACCCACTCGGGGACTCCAGGAGACCACACAGAGGGATATTCCCGAAGTACGAAAATGTCTGACACCAGCGGTTCAAGATATACCCATCTGACATCAGAGAGTGAGGAGACCACCGACACTTCGAATACGGACATTACAGAGGAGAGCAGTAGCCGAATTTCCGCGTCTAGTACTTCTAAATACACCCACTCGGGGACTCCAGGAGACCACACAGGGGGATATTCCCGTAGTACGAAAATGTCTGACACCAGCGGTTCAAGATATACCCATCTGACATCAGAGAGTGAGGAGACCACCGACACTTCGAATACGGACATTACAGAGGAGAGCAGTAAAGGAGTATCTACGTCTAGTGCTTCCAAATACACTCACCCGGCGACTCCAAGTGACCACACAGGGGGACATTCCCGTAGTACGAAAATGTCTGATGCCAGCGGTTCAAGATATACCCAAACTACCCGTAATACGGATAAGGATTTGTCCAGTACATTTTCAGGAATTGGTAGCTCCAAATATTCCCATGTAACGTATGGTAGTGAACATACTGTGGGATCCAGCAGTTTTGGGAGCACCGGAATTGTAACTACAGCAAGTACATCATCAAATTCCATTATAAGTGTGCCGACGGCGAGGAATTCCTTAAACACAAAATCGACGGACAATCAACAGACACACACGTATACGATATACACCGAGGATGTGATACATGCGGGTACGATAGGAGCTGGAAGCCAGTCTCGAGATGAAAACAAGACAAAGATGGAAGGTATGATAACTAATTTTATTTATAATACATTTACAATCGAGTTAATGGAACATATATCTAATAGATGCTGGTACAACTATACCACCAACAAGGGGAATAGAAATAATTTACGAAGGAGAAATAAGACCTGGTATGTAGATATAGCTATCCTTTGCTAGGTAAATTAGATTAGATTTTGTCTAAAACTGACGTTGAATCCATTAGATCTTTTGTTTTAACGTTTATTTGGACTACAATCTCTTTGGATTTCAGAGATGAAGTGTAGCAGTACAGGAAAGTTCCGGTATATGAATTCCTGCAAGCAGTATTACTATTGTGACCGCATACCACATTCAAATTCCTTTTTATTATCCAGAGTGCGAGAATGTCAAATTTGCATGCAGTTTAATGCCAAATTAGGGAGGTGCGACTATCCAGAGAACGTCCCTGAATGTCAACCGGATAATGGAATAGAGAACAGACTTTGCACGGGAGATGGGAATTTTTCAATACCAAAGGAGAAGAATTGCAGGAAATACTATGAGTGTATAAAAGATGTGAGCACCGACGAAATTCGTTTGAACGTAAAAGAATGTGCTAGTGGGACAACCTTCAATGCACAGTTGCAGAGGTGTGTTCCGGGAGAGCATTGTAAACGGCACAGAAACCCACGATGCACAGGGCGCAATTATAATTTCTTTGATAGACACGATTGTACAAGTTATTATCATTGCGATCATAGAGGTAAGATTCAAAAATTAAAGTGTCCTCCAGGCTATGTATTTAATGGAGAAGAATGCGAGTGGAAAGATGATGTCATTTGTGATCCCGATGCTTTGACAGACAAGGATTTAGAAAGACTTTTAATTTGGTAAATTATGTTAGAAATTTGTGGTGTGAGATTTTGTCATTAGCTGATGCGTAAAAATAAAAACTCACATTGCTATAGGCAGTTTATTTTAAATTGTGCAATAAAGAAATCACAAGCTTCCTTTTTATGAGTAGACAGGGAACTTATTTTTGTTATCGCATGCATGAACTAAAGTATGTATCTATGTAACGTTGCATGGGAACGTATAAAAAAAGGCAATGATGTGATCACATTGGAAACAATTCATTTCGAATGCGATAAGTAGGTAGGTATACACATTCATATTGAAATATTCATTGAAATACATATTGCAGATGTTACATCATTCATTAAAAAAATGAAAGACAATATCATAATAAAATATTTTTTATTATACCTGGATCACAATCTCCGTTTTAAACACTCAAATGCGTGCGAAAAAAGGCCTTTAAAACACACGTGCTTTAAAGTTGCTAAGTAACGATACTTCAAGTATGACTTTTGAAACTGTCATCTGGGTGAAATAAAAAATCTTCCTAAGTCGCTTTCTGTAAATGCAGAACATTTCTTTGGCCTATACCCATCCTTTGGTTGAAGCTTTTACAAACGCGCGTAATTTAGGGTATGCTTCCAAATCTGTCCACTTTTTAGTCCCAGCAATAAGTGAAGTTTTGAATGAATGTACCAAAAGATAGAACATTTAAATACCTTTGACATTTCCTTCATATATGCCAGCATTCTCGATGCATTTAAGACTTTATTCGTAAGTATAACTTCCTATTCATCCATGGAAACAACTTTTCATATTCTTTATAATAGACTTAACTGGATTTGGATTTTATACCTACCAACGTTTGTTTATATTTTACAACAAGCTATTTAATGGACGGTGTATTATCTTTTTCAACGGAAATCGTTTTATTCACAAAGACGATGATTTTTATAAGCAAACGTCAAGTGACATTTCCATGGCAATCGTGAAATTACGAACACCCAGCCCACTTAATTAGACATGTATTCGAGCATAACGTCAATATGATTTCACTGAATTTCCTATTTTTAAATTATACTGCAGGTATAATAAAAAATACTATAAGATACACGTGTATAATTGGTCTTTAAAACACTTGCAACGTTAAAGGCACTCCGCTTTGCGTCGTGCCCTTAAACTCGTTGCGCGTGCTTTAAAGACTTGATTATACACTTGTATCTTAATATACTATTTTCTACAACTGTCAAAAAAACCTGTCATTTTCTGACGGATTTCGAAACGCGAAGTACTAGATTTTTAAACGGTTAATTAATAAGTAAGGTTGCTATTGACAACGTGCGCGAAATCGTCAACATGAAAAAAAGTATTTCGCGCACGTGACAAAGTTGAACTTAAACAGCAAATTTAATTAACAATCGGTTCAGTTGTAGAAAAAATATTGTATATAACGCTAGCGCGAAGTTATTTCGCGCATTTGACTGATATTTTGACTCGGCTTCGCCTCGTTAAAATACCTTCAGTCTCAATGCGCGAAATTGAACTTCGCGCTCTTGTTATATAAATAACTGTTTGTGGGGTCGGTGTATTTATGCCACCGTCTGTTTTAAAGCGTCATCGACGTAAAGGAATGTCTGCGAGTTCTTCATACGAGTGCGCTAGAAATTGAATGTGAAATTGTGATCTTTGTTTGTAATTAGAAAATTGATTTGTGTTCAAGCTAATTCAAGACAGCCTCAAGTTATTAAGAAAAAGGCCTTTCAGGTAGAAGAGGATGAAGATTATATTTTCAAGTCTCAAAAACGGCATGATATACTCGATTCACTTTACAAATTAGTAGAATTTCATTTAAAAATCTGTTATGTTTACAAAACGCAAAACAAACCATTTGTAAATTAACCGAATGCAAATAATGAAGTTCGATTAATAATTGATATGATATAGTAGACACATTCTTAAATCAGAGCCGTAGCGTAAATTGCGACACAACATAAACAGAAACCATAACCTCCTACAAATTATAATTAATTCAAATCTTGTGTTTAAAAGTTCTTGTCTGTACGTAAATCTACGTTTAAATATTTTTTTAAACTATCAGTTAATTAAAAGTGGTCAACGTTCTTTAAAACAGGCCTGATTTACAATTACGTCCTGATGGCAACACTATTGTAATTTCTACTTAATTGACGCAGTATATAAACCTTCTTTTTGTAAATTATGGCAGAAAAACAGAAAATGTAAGCACCTTACCTTCTTGTACGTAATTTTCTAGTTTAGAATTCACAAAATCACTCAATTTCACTGCGCCAAACGTACGCCGTGACGTTTGTTTTCCCGCTATTTTGATTCATAATATTTTCAAAAATATTTTTAGATTGATCTGTGGAGATGTTGAGGGCAGATTTATAACTCTCTTCAACAGAGTTGAAGCAATAAACAAAAAATCGGGTCCCTTTGACTTGCTGCTTTGTGTGGGGAATTTTTTCGGCGTTAACAATAAAGAATTCGACACCTACAAGTTTGGCATAAAAAAAGGTTTGTGTAAACTTCGATACTGTAATCCTTGATCTTGTTGATTGCAGTCGAAGTACCGACTTACGTATTGGGCCCTAATAAGGAAGAGCACGTTAAGTTTTATCCGGAAGACGGTTCCGAGCTATGCCCTAATGTACATTACTTAGGTTCCTACAGCTTTCAAGGAGTTTTGATGTTGATTTGAATTAATTCAACTGTTTTATTAGGGAAGCGTGGAGTGTATACGAATAGTACTGGGATAAAGGTGGCTTACATGAGTGGAATTTCATCGGATGGGCAGGTGGGCGGTAACGAGTACACGTACACTTTGGAGGACGCAGTGTTCTTAAAAAACCTGTGCAAACGGGGGAGTTCTAGAGGAGTCGATATTTTAGTTACATCACAGTGGCCCAATGAAGTTATGAGATATGATTCTACTAATAAGGTAAATAATTTATGAGGTAGGTAAGTACTTATGTTTATTAAAATGTAACCAAAAGGAAATCAATGTTAAAAGATTCACTGCTACACAAAATGTGTTTGCTTTTTATGAAATCAACCAATAGGGTGCCTGTCTATCTATTAGGTTTGAAGAAGAGTTTATGCACAAGTGAGAACACATTATACTATCCTGGAAGGGTCACAACACTGTTGAGGAAGCGGCATGAGAAAAGGACAGACTATGGTGGTTCTATGTATGCTAAACAAAGATAGTAATGCCTTTACATTGTGGGTTCCATACCCACAAAAATGCCTCGCTTGTAACATTGCGCTCTTTCCAGCTAGTATAGAATTCAAGATGAGAACAATGTATGGGGCATCCTAGACATATGGCTAGGAAATGAGCCCGGGGGGCACTATTTTTTGTATACAAACTTTTATTTGATGCATTTAAATAAAGCCACTGTTGATACATCATTTACATATTACCACAGACAACATATACTACAGACGGTCAATGCAATGCTATAGAAATAAACGCAACACGTAATAGAGTACGACTAGTGTGTTGTCTACCTTGAAGCAGTCGAAATAAATTGTTGTAAAATGTGGTAGACGCACAGAAAACTGTTGTGTGTGGTAAACGTGTGTAATAGATGGAGTCATTTTTGTAAAAATAAAATACATATACTCAAACCTTATTTCCTCGGCTTCAACGCCGGCTTTTACGTAGATAAGATAAGCGCTCACTTGTATAACATCATAAATTACATGAAATAGGATACATTTTAATTCTTCATTTTTCTCTTTTCTAAACATTTAAAAAATTGATGGAGCGGGTTTGGTTATTATACAAGGGCGGAAACTAAATTTGGCCTCCACATATAAAATTATGAGGTTGGACAAGGAAAGATTTTATTAGAATAATAAACATAATTTTTGTTTTTCCATAATAAATATATTATTATACCTGGTGGTGACTTGAACAACGCACCATAGGAATTGCAATAGTAATTTTTTCATTTCTGATTATTGACTTCTCTAATTATTTTAGAGAGAAAGTCTATTTAGGTTTTTTGTAGAGAAAAAAATTACGAATCCATGCATACTATAGCTTTTAATTTTCTGAACTTTAAATCCAAGAAATTGGATAATTAAAAACTGGCGCTTTTAAGAAAATCAGTGGTGCCATGGCAATTTGAGATCAAAATGCAGGCGCTTTTGTTTGATTTCCTAACTCCATGGAATTACCGACTTGGCGTCCAGAGCCTGGCGCTCCTCGCCCCTCCCCCTCGCACGGCCTTGCCTACCTATATGTATCTGTGATAATACCATCACAACATTTTTTGATTAGGGGAGAGAGCACTTAACGAACTTTATTTTATGTCAATGTGTAGGGTCAACATAGTCCAGTCACAGCGACGTCGGAAGTGAATAACGGTTGGGGGGGGGGGCAAAAATCAGCGACCATTGAGTCTGAAAGGTCCTTCCCATGCAAAATTGTGTACGAATTAATGCAAAGCAGTGGGTTTTTTAAGTGACCCTGAAACCTGTTTATTTAATCAATCAAATAATGTATTTTTGAAAGAAGTTTTGAAAAAAATTTAAAAAAGTGTCGGAGGATGTCTAGTTACATGCAACTGAGCAACTCAGAGATACTTGACTCGATTGAGAAAACCATAGCCATAGATCATTAATATTTTATTTAAAAAATAATGAAGAACTAGAACATACAAAAGTTACAAAAATTTTGTCCCTGTTTATTGCACTATTGAGCATCGTAAAGAAAAGCAAGTATAAAAAATTAAATATATCCAAAAATTTTCCGCCTTTCCGTGGTTTCCTGGCAAATTCTTTCAATATATCCTCTACTTCTACACTTTTTGTAATTTCTGCATGCACATGCAGTAGAAGATGTGTTAGTCGCTTTTTAGTGATTTATCTACTCTTTCTTAGAGGGGGCGCGGCCCCACCTTGTGTAAAAACTGAGGGGGCCACTCGCCCCCTCTGACCCGTACTTCCGACGTCGCTGTCCAGTCAAATTAGCTCCAAAAGTATTCTAAACTGGATGTTGGCATTTCACACAACGAAACCAAGTGTATTTTATGTAGTTCCCTGCCCGGAAGCTCCCGGAACATATTGCTATACAAAAAAAAAACCAAGAAAAAATGGAAAAATGCAGTTTTTTTCGCATTTGACTTCCAATTATCTCGTCAACTATTGCTCGAGCTCATAGAAATGAATTTGTTTAGAATCGAATTTTCAGTTGGTACAGAACCGTTCATTTTTAAATGTTATTGTTTTTTCTGGAAAAATACAAAAAAAGTAATCCCAAAAATTACCATTTGTTTTTGTTGATACGCCCTTCTCAATGGTTTGTCCTTCAAACTGGATGACTCCCGGAGCGTTTTCAATATTTTTATGGATGGTGGAACCGTAAAACAACCTATTCCAACAATTGTCTGTTGTCCCGATGAGTTTTGCAAATCGACGGACTGTGGAATTAGTTTAGTGGCCTGTTTAGTGGAAACCCCAGAAACAGAACAAGAAAGTAACTTTATAATAGGCCCTTGGCACGCTGTTTAATAAAAAATCATACCAACTGTATCTGATAGAAAAATCGATTCTAAGCAAATCGTTCTCTTCATTTTTTCCGTAAGAGGAATAGTTAACGAGAATACGAGATACCTAATTAAGTCAAATGCGAAAAAACGATATTTTCCCATATTTTCTTCGTTTTCTTGTGTATAGCAATATGTTCCCGGAGTTTCCGGTCAGCTAGACTGTCATTTACGGATTCAGGGGATTTTTTTGCATACAATACACATGGTTTGGTTGAGTGAAGTGACAACACACTAAACCGGCAGACAGTAATAGATACAAAACTATAAACCATCTCGAGGATCGCTATTAAAACTTTGCTTTGTGACAATTTTCGTAGGTAATTGCACAAGCGCATCAAAATGCTCTTTTAACAAAGTATGAAGTGTAACTTCAGCGCATTTTCCATAAATTGATCAATACTTCTCCAAAGGCCATACCTATGTGCGCTACGTTTTTCATTACTAGACGCATATATGGTTAAAATTTAAAAAAAATATTTTCATAAATAAGGAAGTTGACACTTACTGCGCAGTTGATATTGCGCGTCCTGCGCATGCGCTTATTAATCTCATATTTACAATTTGCAATACGTTTGCTTTTACTATAAGTATCTTTGGTTAAAATTTCAAAGAAATATCTCCATAAATAAGAAAGTTTGCATTGCGCATTCTGCGCATGCGCACATCTGATTTTTACTGTATGCGATATATTTGCCTTTACTACAAGTATCTGTGATTAAAATTTCAACAAAATATATTAATAAATAAAAAAGTCAACATTGCGCAGCCTGCGCATGCGCAGTTCAATCGTCAAGATTTTCTTTGACTCAGGTGCCAGAGCGATACGCTACCGAATGCAAAAAGAACGAACTAAATATCTTGAAAACTGTAGAAGTACTCGGACAGACGGACAGACGGACGGACAGAGAAAGTGGCTGCAATAGCGCACCCAACTTCGTTGGAAAATGCGCTAAAAATTATCAGGTTTATTTTGATGCACGAGTGTAATTCGGGGGAATATTTCCCGAATAAACATTACAAACTCACCTTACCTACTTATAAAATTGTTAAAGTGTATTCCCATGAAATGTGCAATTATCGCAGGGCTCTTTCGTTTTCTACAATGCAATTACCGCTGTAATTGACCTATAATTGCACACCTTAAATGGGATTTATTACATATGATACAAATAATCATTCGAAAATTTGCTTACGTTTAGGTTTTCTTTATCCAAGTTAAATGAAGTTAAATTGCTGATTGCAAGATTTATTCCACAAACGGAGAGACAAGTAGGCAAGTAGAGTACGTAACGTAGGTATATAAACAAACACGGAGATTACACTTTTTTTCGAGAATTCGAAAAGTGGTGCAAGTTAGATATATCGTTTCTTATGCACCCAAAGACAACGAGTAATACGTAATTGCGAATATAAAGTGATATTTGCTTTGTATGTGATGTGTACCTGCAAAGATTATCAGCACTTCGCCCCAGATGTAAATTATGGGGATTTCTTGTGGGACAGCTTTCTAACAATAAAGTATCAATACTTCTTTCCCTAGACAATTTGCAAAACCATTCCAATAAAAGAAATCTGTAGAAGAACCAACACATTGTTGTATGCGCTAATAGATGGAGCAAAATAGAGGGATAGCAGGCTTTTAAATAAGGGGACATTTGAAACAAAACTTAGCGTGCTTTTTCCCCTTAAGATTGACCGTCTGTAGTATATGTTGTCTGTGATATTACATATACAGGGCAAGGTTTTCCACTCAAAAATAAAAATATACAGGGTGTTCAATTTTGTGTAATTTCCGGCCAAACCGGAACTAAAAAAAGGTAATTGTGATCAATTAATTCTTTTAGTCTGTTTCCTCGTGGTTACACAATTTTTTTGTCAAGAATTTTTTACAAACATACCGACCCAAAACCTTGGTAATAAGTCATTTTTAATGCTGTTGAGCAAAATAGAAGAAACGTAGACTTCCTAAAGAAAATATCAAGTCGTTGGGTTTTTTGGAGTAGGTTTTGGTCTGCTTTATTGTACATTTTTAGCACAACACTTCTACATTCTGTGTACCATAAAGCTTTGATCCTGGGTCAGGTGTCAATATTGAAATGACTTCGCATGTATAATTCTTCCCTATGTTGAATGGGTGTTTACTATTGTAATAAACGCATAAAACTCAATTCTTGTATTTTGAGCTCATTTTTGAGGATCAACACTTACAAATGACGAACTTATAAGTATTAGTGCATTTAGTGGGTAGTCACTAGTCACCGGTGCTGAATCTACGCGAGTCACTGTTACAGAGCGTGTCGTGCATTTTTAAGTAAAATCCGAGGTAAAATCGTTCAGAGTAGATCCCGAAGAACGAAAATTACGCCTAGAGCGAGGTACCACCTCCATCAGACAGACAAGTAATCGCCGTGCCTTAGACGATTTTCGCAGAAAAACAAGATAATTGAAAAATTTCCAAGAATCCACGCCAACTAGGATTCTGTAGTCGGTCCGTGCAGAATCGTATACAGAAATCTGAGCCCGCCGCTAGGCGTATTCGAGTCTGGCCGTCTGTAACAATATAACGGTATGCAACATTGCAACCAACATAACAATACTACTTAAAAATTACTTATTTGATTGTAAAGACGATTGAACCACCTTTACAGGTTGTTTACAATTAATTTTTCTTTTAGTACTTGACGGTCATTGCGTTTACTTCATTTATAAATAAAAGTCGAATGTTTCCTATCAATGCGAAGTGTCATTTTTAGCGACTTAATGCTTTTTAACCATTTTACAGGGTCGTTTCGCGTCAAACCCCATTTACTAATATGTGGATTCTATTGCATCCAAGATTAACCTTAAAGAAAGAAAAGAATCGTCTCATACTTCATTATTGACTTATTATTTATTCCTTTCACCCTTTTCCTTAAAAGGCTAGAAGAGGACTGAAAGCTAGCCGGAGCACATTTACATATAATTTAAATAAGAAGAACCACCCCAATTTGATTGAAACTTATTAAGATTAACCGGATGTAAAAACTAATAATTACAGATTCACGTTTAGAACCCTACATTGAAGTACGTTTTCATACTTTTAGATAAAAGTGGGTTTAAATATGCACACAAACGTAGCAGCGTGGCTAGCACTGCAATTAAAACCACGTTACCACCTAAGTGGCTTGGAAGGACAATTTTATGAGCGTGCGCCATTTCGGAATCCGGTTGGTAACGACTCCTCGCTAGAAATTGCGACTCGATTTTTGGGATTGGCGAGAGTCGGAAACGCGAATAAAGAGAAATGGATTTACGCTGTGAGTTTGACACCTATAGATAAAATGTCCATTAAAGATTTAATGCAAAGGACGACCGATGAAACACAGTGCCCCTTCAATTTGGTAGAATTGGAAAATATATGTAAGTAACATGTTCATAAATGATTCAATTTTCATTGCAATGTATTTGGGCAAATGATGGGTGATTAGAAGTTTTTTATTGTCGTGTTTCCAATATATGGCAAAATAAAGAATATCACAATTGTAGGTTTTCTTTAGTGTGACTGATAATTGGAAAGCATCAAACTGATGAAACATTGATTTTATTTTTTAATTTTCCATGTTGATTTTGATTAGTTTATTAAATTTACAGTGTTTAAAAATAAAAGGAAACCAGAAGAAAACATACAGTATTTCTACGACACTAACTCACCAGAACCAGAACAGGTGAAACATAAAAAACGCCAAAAAATTGAATTTGATCAAAGTAAGTGCTGGTTTTGTTTGGCAAGTCCATCAGTGGAAAAGCACTTGGTGGTAGCAGTTGGAAATTCGGTGTATTTAGCGGTGGCAAAAGGTGATTTGCTCTACACTATTTTATACTTAATCATAAGTGTCTTACAGGTGGCTTGGTAGATCAACATCTTTTGATTTGTCCAGTTGAACATCATCAGTCTTCAATTGCATTGCCGGATTCGGTAGTGGTAGAGGTAGACAAGTTCAAAGATGCCTTAAGAAGTATGTACATATTAAAACAGATGGAACCTGTATTTTTTGAAAGGAATTACAAAACGTCTCATATGCAGATTCAAGCTGTACCCATTCCCTTGGCTGCTCAGAAAGAATTGAAGGACATTTTTCGGGTAGGTACAATAGCTGAGCAAAATGTTTCTAAAGGAAGCACAATAAGAGAAAAATGCTGTGAGTTATACAGGGTACTCACTGAAAGATAGGGATAATCTTTTTAATCCTGTCTTATTTCCCATTATTTTCGAATGAAATATAATCAGTTTAAATTTTTAATTCTATTGGTTGTATTTAGTTTGTATGATAATTTTAAAACGAGTTACTAAAGGGAACATTTAATCGAAATTCTTTACGTGAGTTTAAAGTTTTATCTGGTCAGGCGTTGGTAAAAAATTGTTATCGAACAAGAATTAATTCGTTTTTCGACAAACAATGTCACGTGCGAGATACGCGATGCAAGTGTTTTATCAGTTCTGGCGACGGAGAGGAAGTAATTTTGGTACCGGTACTCCAGCCGGCTATGCAATTTTTAAAAAAAAACGTAATCCTCCTCAGGTAAGTAAAATTATGCGCAAACAAGTTTAATGTTGTGCAAGAACTACTTAGGCATGGAATTTCGAGTTTAAAAAAGTGTAATGTGCGAAAGAAGTCTTACCATCCGAGCAGCCACAAAGTTAATTGTTATTGACTTCGAGTCGGTTGTGGTGTATTAAAAGTGAGTTTTTTTTTGTTTCTGAGAAGAATCTGTGAGATTCGTGTTAAAGCGTGTGTTTCAGGGAATATCGCATATTTCTTGTCCTGACTGATTTATTGGATTATTCTTAACAGAACAGAACTGAATTTGTTTTTAAATCGACCGTTTGTGTTTGTTTTCAAAAAAGCACTGTAAGATTTTTCTATTTTTTTCATATCCGAATGTTAATTCCGATTTTACGAACTTACGGAATTTGAGGGGGGCTTTCTAGTCTTTCAAGTTTATAAGAGCTTTCAGTCTTTGTTAGGAGTTTCTTGTTGTATTGGAACCCAGTTGTGCTCTGAGGTAGAATTTAAAAAGAAAAACTAAATGGTGTACCCTGAGGTAGCTGTATATAGTCTGTCCCTCCTTGACTTTACAGCACAGCGTCTTATGGTCAACAGCGATGTCGTTAGAATATGATTTGGTAGAAAATGGCCCCCCCTATATCCCAGGCAGACTCTTATTATTCCCAAATGTGAAAAGGGAAGAATCTGGAAACCTCGGACAATATTAAAAAAGCCACAACAAGCTATACCTTAACAGCATTCTGTAAAGAGAGTTGCAGAGGCTGGAAAACACGTTGGCAAAGGTATATAGACGCAGGAAGAGAGTATTTTGAAGAATATCAAGTTGTATTACATGTTTAATCAATAAATCTATTTTTTTGAAAAAAGGCTCATTACTTTTGGGATAAACCCTGTAGGAAGAGATTTAATCAGCTATACATTTTCAATAGGAAAAAAATTGAGTTTTTTGTCATCCCACACGTGATAGCCGGATGGCTGCATACGTGAGTAAATAGACTAAGACTAATCTACCATTATGCAAACTACGTCGAACGTTCTTATTGTATAGCAAACGTTAAATTGATATTTTATTAGGTTTGAATGGGTAGGCTAAGCGTCTCGCTAACAGTAAGGGTAGATAAAGTGAAACAAATAATTGTGCAATCGAATGATATCTGTTTAAAAATGGGACACCGAGCACGAAATAAAGTGAAGTTCAGAACAGCATACAATAACTATTTCTTACGACATTACTAAATGGCCATTAAAACTGGAAAAGTTGCATTAAAAAAATCAATGTTATGTTGTTTTATTTAGTTTAGAGAACCCTGTTTAATGAAAAGCATTTGATTGTGTAATCTCAGTGTTTCTTAGGAAAATTGCAAAAAATGTAAAACGCGATTATTTATTAGTGACCATCCATTTACATGTTCTTTGCGGTATTCAACTGTTGACTTATAACTTCTGCATACTGCATGAGGAACATGGGGACTTGGCCTGCTGTTTACTTACCTTGAATCATTCTGTTATTATATAGGATGAAGCGGAAGGTCATGGATTCGTTTTGGAGGAACTGGAATCCCATAATCGTTTAGATCAAGTGTTAGCAAAAGGGGTACCATATTTTTGTGTGGAATTGCCAAACAAAACAATTTTGTACACCAAAATACAGTCGTCGATGAATTTTCCAATCAATTTTGGGAGGCAGGTGCTAGCGTCAGGTCCGATATTAAATTTGCCAGATAAGATAGACTGGAAAGAGTGCGTTGTGAAGAAGGAAATTGAAGAAAAACTTGTCGCCAGCTTGCGGAAAGCATTTAAACCGTTCGATTTTACCGAATAAGAACACTCGGGTTTGTTAACACAACATTTTTATTATATTTGTTTACATTTGACAATTGTACAATAAAAAGGTGTATCCAAAAATGACAGTTCTTTGAATTTTGTGTGGGAAAGATGAAGTTGTCGGCTTCGGAGTGATGTAGAGACATTGTGTTTGTAACACATATAACTAGTGTGAGGCTCACTTATTGTTCTTGTAAAACTGTATGTAACAATCTATAAACTCTATAACATACATTGGATTTATACAGATTATTATCAAGCTCATTTTGGCACATCCCATTAACGGAAGATAGGGAAGCATGTTTATTTGAAAAACAATTTTTCCCCGTCGAAGGCACCTGCCACTGTTTATGCTTTCCTATCATATTCCATGTAAAAAATGAATTTCATATAAAAAGTGTTTTAAATTAGACCTTTCTTCACGTATAAACAAAACAGATTATACAACTCTAATGATTGTAAGTAACGAAAATACTTTATAAAAACTATACATTGATTTGGAAAGCTTCTCTACTAAGTTTAGATAACCCTCTGTGTTTGTGCCCTTTCTCGCATTCCGTTTCGCTAAGATCCCGCGAATGCAGGTCAGAAAACCTACTTGGGGGATGTATCCGTTCACTGAAACTCGGTGTGTGCGAGATGCTAAAAGTAGTTTCTTCATTATGGCTGGAGTAACCGCTGCTACTACGCACATGTCTTTTACTTAGGGGTGCCGCTTTACTCTTGCCTTTACGTGAAGGGTACGGTTTTCGACCCATGCTTCCCGATTGAGGCGACGTCTCGGACGACGAACTAGACCCTTCCGCTCCCCCTATAATATTTCGGCCATGTTATACCTGAAATTGACCCTACTTACGCTTTCGTACCGCGCATTCGATGTCTAAACGAAACCAATTCCTGACTGGCACCCGTCCCATCACCTTCGGAATCGCTGCCTAAGGTGTCATATTCTGAAATTGGCAGATGCAGTGTTAAAATCTTCTTCACCTCGGAGTCAGTGCTGCCCAGATTGTCCGATTCTGAAATAATGTTGCGGTCAAGAGCGGATTGAGCAGCAATGGCTCTTAATAATGTTGACTTTCTACAATATAGACAAACAAGGGCAGCAGATTTCATTAATAGTGAACCTTGGTGCGAGATTTTAAAGCTGACCAAAAGGAATCAATGTTTATTGCAAGTATCAAATTGCGCAAATTGGAACCATGTGTCTATAGCGTAGAAAGTTGAGGCTCATATAGCTACACAGGGTGTTTACAATAGAAATGAACAGCATGAGGATATTGGATACTGTAAAACTTGTCAATCTGTATTATATTCTACATTTGTCAATGACTTCTTGTAATGTCAAAAAAGTGGCATTGAGAAATAGTATATTATATACCGCGGGACTGAAGTAGTACTTTTAATCCCGAAGGTAAAGTTTATGGCCCGACCGAAGGGAGGGCCATAATTTACCTGAGGGATTAAGACCACTACTTCAGTCGCAAGGTATATACGATATTTTATGTCTTACTAACCTATCATAGCACATTTTATATCTGTGATACGCGGGCATAAAGTACCACTTTATGCCCTAGGGCATAAAGTATCACCATAGTAACTCATTTATGCTTAATCACAAAACAAACAAATATTTGCAGATCATTGAAAATTAGAAACGTCAATTATTAATTGTCAATACCTACTAAATCACAAGATTGGCCTTATTTCGTAGTTTCTGGAACTTCTTGCTCTTTCACAATGAATTGAATTATTTAAAATTACGTTTGACGTTTGGATGGTTTCAATCACATTAACAAATTGGAACCACGCATACTCGATCAAACATACTGAATTATTTTGTAAACGAATTTTGACGAAGAAAACTATTTGTAAAACATAAAATTGCGTATGTACCACGGGCATAAACTGATATCTATACTCTCGGGCGACTAAAAAGCTCTCGGGCCATAGGCCCTCGAGCTTTTTAACTCGTCGCCCTCGAGAATATAAACATCACTATTATGCCCTTAATACATAAATAACTATTTTGTACTTCCGAAACTGAAACACTTAATATGTATGGAGTTAGAGAACGCGTTCTTTCAAAAAATCGCTACTTAACAAGTTACCATAGGAACGTTGCGTTGGTACGACAATTCCTATGCTGTGGTAACAAAAATAATTTGGAAACTGTCATTGCTAGTGTCATAATTTTGGTGGTGGGTGACAAAAGTGTATTTGATATTCATAAAAAGCAGCCAAACTAGGTAAAGAATTGATACCACCGAAATCCAAAAAACTATATGAGCAGCAGTACGATACGTTTAAGAAGTAGTGCCGCATACAAAATGTGGAACAACCTACTGAAATTGCCTTGTTAGTAATTTCATCCTTCCGGGATTTTCGTCAAAATTTAATCCCGGCGGGACAAAAAGTGACACTTCAGTACTTGTCATAATGGAGTGAAGTGGTCACTTTAGTCTCGGAAGTACGAAAATGTTCTTTATTTCTTTATCTCTCCCCAAACAGCCTCGGCGAAAAATCTCATATTTCCTGTTTTTTCGAATATCCGAAATTAACCGGAATTTTCTCAATGGAATATTTTTGACCCATTATTTAACTTTTTTATGATTTTATCAAATTTGTAACTTACCACACTTTTTACGGTTTTCGAGATTACGCATGCTGTTCATTTTCACCTTGGATACGTGGAATAGGACTTACCCTGACTTTCTGAATGTGGATCACGCAGTCTTCCTCCTTTTCTTCGAACTTTGGTATACTCTGGTTCTTTATTCTTAAATGAAAAAATATATTACCTTCTAGAAAATACATATGCATTTAGTATTTGATTTTTAGTACAAGATAATGATCAATAAAGGGACTTTGGATTTTCTGGAACCCCCCAAACCAGCTATTCCATTGTAATACTACCATTTTCATCGTTGTTTGGTTATAGGTTAATAATTGGGGTTTCCACATTAGATATTGAGAAAAAATGAAAAGGTTTAAAAAACCTAGTCGAATGATTGGGAGAGATGTCCAATTCCCCACTTAATTGAATGTTGGCAATTATGTTAAATCACATTTTAAAGTATTTCCTACCCCAAATGAAACGTAAAACGTTATCTATACATCAACTAGACCTGTGGAGCGTAGCGAATTTGTTTCTGCAACTTTCATTTCCATCAATGGTAGACACGCACCACAGTGCACCGTGTCGGTAATAAAAAGTCAAAATCCTTAAAAACGTTTTATAATTTTACTGTAAAAGAATCTAGGTACTGTTGCTCTGAAAAATGCGTTATTCAATTTGATATCCCTAAGAGGTCTCTCCATGTGATAGAAGAATACAGAAATATTAATTAGGTACATTCATTTTAATTAATAATATAATTAATATAATTAATTAATTAATTAATATAATTAATATAATAATTAATAATATAAGGGTAGTCTTGACTTAATTTTTTTAGGAAGCCTGTGCTTGTTTAGATATCAAGATTGCTAAACATGTTTTTCACTCGGTAAAGATTGAGATTAGCTCCTTGAAATACGAAATGTCTCAAATAGTGTTTGGAACTCGAACTCCGTGAAAAATAGTGCCACATGAGAGAATTAAGAAGTTACTGTTTAAAAAAAAAATTATTTAAAACATAAAATAAGTTACAGACGAAAAACCAAAATAAATCAAACTTACGTGTCCTAACTTAAACTTATCGATAGGAGGTGGTTTAACATCATGATAAACAAAAGACCCGCGTACCGAGTGGTACGGGCCGCTGTAGATGTTTCCACTGTAGGAGCTTTCACTGTACGCAGGTTTCGACAGCTGAAATGTGGCATACGGGCAGATATCTTCAATGTAATCGGCGGAATCCGCTTTATAAGTGTCCGGCTCGATGGCTATTGGTTGCTGCGGTCTACCCACGCGTACAGCTAAATATTGCTGATCTCGATTTTGCTTGTTTTGGATTTGAGCTATCGATGGCGATTCGCCCAGTGAACCCCTTTGGCCTTCCCGCTCTTGTCTAATTTCTACAATGATTAATTGTACATACACAACATTTGTGCCGTCACTTACTACGTCTCCAAAATATTGCAGCTATAAGGGCTATTAAAATTACTATCGATAGCACGATCGGAACAATCACTCTCGCGTTGGCATAGAACGACTGGTCACCCGAATGGGACACTGGTGGAGATAGTTCAGGAACGACTGTGTTGAATTCAAATATTGATTCAATCATACAAATTACTACTACTGCCTTACCTCCTAAGAGCGTTAGTGTAGTAAAATTATAAATTGCTGTGGTGTCGCCGGCATTGTTGTACGCTGTTACTTTTAGCTGATAGTCGGTTGCGGGCCATAATTCGGTTACGCTATATATCCGTTCTGTCGGCTTTATGTGACTTGAAGCTGTTATCCAGGAGGACTGCGGTCGTTTCTTGTATTCGATTACAAAATGCGAAATACCACATCCACCATCACCCCACGAATCAAGCCATACTGTTACTACGGTCGCATTCATTGTTAACATTTGCGATTGTTTTGGTTTTACAGGCGCTATAAACATTTCTATGTTAGTAAACTGCAAAGATGATAAATAATACCGAATACACATAATACTCTTCGGGAAATTGGTACATAATGTACCTATATTTAAACATAATATATTTTATATCAAATTAAAATAAATATTACCTTTTGCAGTAATAGAAAAAAAACATAGATATACCTATGATTTGCAATTGTTTATAAGAATTTTTTCTTGGTAACTACTCTACAAAAGTTGTACTTGAAAGTGTAGTAGAACTAGAAACATAATTATAGAACATTTGGTTGAAAATTATAAAAATATGTAGAGGTGCGAGAAATAATCAATATATTGATAAATAGCGATAATTGAAGTTGACGTCTATCAATAAATATAAATATGGTTAATTATCGATAGACCTCGATTATCGATCATGATCGATGATTCATACATAAAGAGTGAAAAAAATTTGGATCTTCTTTTCACAGCTGACCATTTTCATAATAAGAAAAGGTTATCGATAATATTGATTGGCAATATCGATATCAAAAACCGATAATATGGATAATCGATATTATTGATAGTTTTATATTATCGATAATTGATAGTGAATTTCTATTGTCGCGCAGGTCTAGAAATATGGTCTCTGTTAAATACATACCAGTCCCCTTTGTGTTGTCTGTCACCACATCACACGATAAACCAGTGCCGATTCGATTAAAGGCGGTAATATATAACAAATATTTGGTTCCGCACCACAAATTTCTCAACATGTGTTCATCCGTTCGTGCCGAAATTTGAAGCTCCTCCCAATCTCCATGGTCTCTCTTATAATTAATTACATATCCTAGGATAGGGGATCCCCCATTTTTTTGGTCTGTCCACCGTAAGTGAAGGCTGTCGGTGAATTCTGCCACTACCGTTAACATAGGCGGATCGGGAGGAACTAACACCTTCAAACTGTAAACGATTTCGTCTTTGCCGTGCTTGTTTTCGACGCTGCAGGAATAATTCGCTTGATCGATACTTTGAACGTCTTTGATTTGCAACGCGGCGTCCGTAGATATCGATCTACGGCCACCGACCTCCAACGGCAACTCGTTTAGATGCCAGGTGGGAACTGGTAACGGATCTCCTACTCGTTTACAAGGTAGATACACAGTTTGTTTCCAGGCACTTACTATTTCTCTACCAAAAGACGCTATTTTAGCCGGAATCACTCTAGATGGTGTTACTGTGATCACACGCGTGCTGTCTCCTTCCCCAACCTGAAAGATGCACATTGTCTACCCGAGTTTAATAAAGAAGCAGGTACTTACCCTCGTTGATGCGGTAACCCAAAATTGATATGTGGCAGTTTCGTGTGATCTACTAACTTCGTGTGACTCATGTGTTGGGCTCAACACTTTCTTATGTGTTCCCGCTTCTCGTCCGTCCTCTAAGCTACTCATATAAAATGTATATCCTACTAGTATACCGTTACTGTGTTTAGGAGGTAGCCACGACACTAAAATTTTGTTTGTGGAACTTAAGATTGCTTTAATATCTGCAGGTGTTGATGGAACTAAGGCGTTATTTTTAGATTAATTGTTGTATTTTATAGAGAATTGTTACCGTCTTCTTCAGTATGGCAGTAAACGGCTTCAGATCTGACACCATCTCCACTTGCAGTATAAGCCAAAACAGTGATGCTGTAGTTAGTATATTTTCTTAGACCTGTTATTGTTGTGCGTAATTGTTGAATCACTTTTGTTTGTTGATCGTCCTTGTCTGTAAATTGAGGAAGTATTATTGAGTCGACTGGTGAATCGTTACCGTTACGGACCTAACCATTCACTAACGCAGTGATAAGTAACTTTGTATCCTTGAACAATTCCATTTTGGCCTTCAGGAAGAGGGGGTTCCCATGATATGTGTAAACTTTGTGCACTTAAAACTGAGCATTGAACTTTTTCTGGAGGCAGTGTGGGAGCGTCTTCCAAAGTTCGTATTGTTATTGGCTCGCTCGGTGGACCAGATCCTCTGCTGTTGTACGCCTAAAAAGACTCATCACTAACCTACTGTGCGATAAAACTTCATACCTGCACAATAATATTATACGAAGCATACTTAGATAAGCCTTGAAGAGTTGCTTCACCACCAAAGTGTTGCCGGACCTCGACGCTCTTAAATGTATAACCCTGTGTTGGTATTACCGATTGGGATGGGAGTTCTTGATAACCCACATGGTACCCTAGTAGGTTTCCATTCCAGGTGTTCCGTGATGGTGGTTCCCAAATGACCAAAATTTCGGTGGAACTTTTTGCTTCAGCTCTAATATCCAAAGGAGGCCCGTTTGGCACTAATAATTTTATTAAAGCCATTATTAGTTCTTACAAAGTAATAGGTTACCTTCTTCAAGGGTGCTGACCTGAATAGTCTGACTCGGTTCACTAAGACCTAAACGATTTTCGGCTAAAATTCTGATATGATATACTTGAGCAGGATGCAGATTTGGCAGAGTGGCACTTTCATGAGAACCAGGCACTATTTGTTTGGAAGGTTGATTCGGCCACATATCTAAAAACTGAACTTAGTAGTAACTTCATATACTAGGACGGTAGTTAAAATTACCTACACCAAGTTTGTACTGGATGATATAATTACTAATCGGACTGTTTCCATTGTACGGTTTTATCCACGACAGTCCGATACTTCTTGGCAGTTGTTCCGTCACCCTAACATTTTTTGGAGATTCGGGTATTTCCTGAATTATTAAGTGTATGCTCATTTCGTCATGCCCATACGCGTTAGTGGCATAGCAAGAGAACACTCCCGAATCTTGTCTAATTGTTCTGTCAATGCCCAATTCCGATACCATACCTTCGGCTAATCCTTGCTGCCGGATGGAATACCTTTGGTCGCCGTCACTAGAGATGTGTTGACCGTCGACTTTCCATGTAATTTCCATCGGCGTATCTCCTAACGCCGCGCATTGAAGATGCGCTTGCTCTCCCTTTGCAATTTGCAGTTCTTTCGTTTTTTGCGGAAAATGAGCTGGAGCTGAAGAGAATTCCTTGATATTTGATATCTGTCAATTTATTACCCACCATTCACCTTCAAGAAAATTACTTTGCTGACTCCGGTTCCAATGTTATTTTTGGCTTCGCAAAGATAATGGCCCTCATCACCTTTTAATATGTGTGCGAAGTTTAACGATCCATTCTGATATTGGCGAACATTTGGTTCGAAAAGAAATTCTTTGTATTCGCCTGGTTGTTCTCCTAATTTTTCACAATGAAATTCTGTTGTTGTGTTTTGAAATAATCATGTCTTACCAACAGCTTTACGCCACGTAACCGCCGGATTTGGATAACCAACAGCTTGACAGTGGAGAATCGCCTCTTGACCAGAAGCAACATTAGCATCTGCTGGCTCAACTGTCCACCGTGGCGGTACTGAAAACTTTTCTTAATTAACATATCCTACGCCTAAATGAAATATTACCATTCACCGTCAATGGTACAATGTACTTTTCCGAGCCAGCAATATTACTAGCAACGCAAGTGTAATTTCCGCTATGAGTCGAACTAACTTTCTCTATGATAAGCGACGATGAAAATTCGTCAATTCTTCGCACTGAAGTGCCTTCGACTACGTTATTCGAAATCGTTTTTCCGTTTCTTTCCCACCTAAACGTTATCGGTAAGTCCCCTTCCATAATTTGACAGGTAATTGCAGCTCTCATTCCTTCCCTTAAAATATCAGTCATTGGATTTATCGGTATAATTTTCGGCGGTACTAAAATTGGATTTGGTTATTTGAATTGGAAAATGTACCAATCTACCGTTAATTTGAATTTCCAAATCACGTCTCGATGAATGTCGTTGCCTATTTTGAGCCTGGCAAGTATAAGTTCCTGCATCTTCAGTTCGTTGCGTTTGCTCTATCACTAAAGTGCCGTTTGTGTAAACGCGCTGTCTCCGATTTATCGGCAACATTTGACCGTCTCTCTCCCACGTAATTGTTTCAATGGGGTACCCTGCCACTGGACATTTAATAATCAAATTCATACCAGCCACTCCCGTAATTTTCGGCATCTCTCTGATAAACGGAAGTCCATAAACGTTCACGCGAGCACTGTGCGAAATTTTGCCAATGGTATTATGTGCCGTACAAGTATATTCGCCCCCGTCTTCCGATTTGATATTGCTTATATTTACGTGACTGATTACATCGTCCTGAATAGTCACGTATTGCCCAACTAAGAACCTCGAAGAATCGGGGATCGGAAAGCCGTCCAACGTCCAGGTAAATTGTGGAGGTGGGTTACCAGAAGCGACGCACTTCAGTGAGACCGTGGGCCCTGGTTGGAGGGTTTGTTCCGAAAACCAATAAATTAATTCTGGTCCCGCGTCTCCCATATCCAACTCCGAAATCGCTTGCGCTTGATCCCAATTATTGCTCACGATACATTGGTACATACCCCTGTCGTCTTTTGAGAGTTGTCGAATTGTCAGTCGAGGTGGATCAGCCATCATTTCAACCCTGCTGTCTGGTGCCACGGGTTTTGAATTATGTAGCCAACTTATCTGTGATATCGGGTAGCCTCCTACAATGCACTGGAAATTTGCTTCTTTTCCAACATCGACAATTTGAACCTGAGGCTGCACATGAACGGATAGCGGAGCCGTTACTTCTAACGTTACCCTCACACTTTCTTCCCCTGCTGAGTTATTCGCAAAACAAATGTAAGTTCCACGATCTTCTAGACGAACCTACAATTACGATTTAATGCGACATCGTCGACTTTGAGTTCGAGATCTCACCTTCGCTATTTTCAAAAGTCCGGCAGAAATAATGGTGATTCGTTCTCCTAAAGCGACAGGTACAGTTTGCCCTTGCAATTCGCGTTTCCAATAGTATCCAGGTACAGGACGTCCTTGTGCTACGCACGGCAGTGTTACGTCATCTCCTAGTGCTACCCGTCGAGCGTTATATTTATCCACCGTAATTCGTGGTTGCACATTTCCCTTCGGTTCCGTGATGATTACCCGTCCTGGGTATGCACTGATTTGTACTTCACCTACAAGAGTAAGACATATTTGATTAGCTTTGGAGTCAATTGAGAGCAACTTGATAATGCATTGTGAAGATTGTTTGAAAATTCAACGTAGTGACGATTTTTATAAATGTTTAAGATCCGATTGATATAACCTCCCCAATAAAAAATTGGGAGGTTATTGAAATCACTCCAAATTTCACCGGATCTTTACGTTTCAAAGTTCAAGGAGTCCAAAATAGGTAGTGCTTTTAAAAAATGTCTGTATGTACGCATGTGCGTATGTATGTGTGTGCGGCGTGATCTTGTAAAGAAGGTTCAGCCGAAATTATCCGGCACCGATTTGGTTAAAGTTTGAAACAAATGTTCCTTTCAATGATCTCGAGAGCGGAAATCCTTTTGAAAGAGATTTGAAACTGGCAAATGCCTTTTTGGAAATGAAATCGATATTCATTGAATTACCTATAGCTTTCTAAGCAGACCGACTTGGCTGACATTTTGTACCAATGGTCTCTGTTATGGTCCTGAAGATTTTGGACACGATTGGAAAATCGGAAATGTTCTCTGGCTATAAAATTAGTTCTATCGCATTGTCCAATTTGGTTTCTGTCCATCGTTCGAACCGTGAGATATTTGTTGCTTGGCCGCAAAAACTGTGGCAACTTTGCGGCGATTCACATACATCGGGCCATTCTCATTACCGTTTTATTTTTAGCGCTTTTTTTAAGAATAAAAACTGAAACTAGTTTCTATCCTTCATGGTTTGGTTTGGCTTGGTCCTTCATGAAAGGTCTCAACGAAAGGAATTACTTTCTACCAACCATAGCCCTCCTCCTCGACCTCTTATCGTGATCGGGTATATGCCCTTATGCCTCAAGAACGAATTGTCGGTAGAGGGTACTCTCAAAGGGCGATTGAGTTGAGACGTCTGCAAGAAATATATCCATTGGTGATCTCAAAACAAAAGCTATTTCGGTTAAAAAATGTTGAAGTCGGTCTTTTTAATGTACTCGCCATCATGATCTTATCGAAGTTTTTTTTTGGTTTCTTGTTGAATTTATTTCGGCAATATATTTATATTCATTCGCGATTTCCAATTTATCCCTGATCAACTATGTACCTAAATTGAGAATAATCGTCTATGAATGTGAGCAAATTATTCCTTGACATAGTTTGTATCGGACCATCCGTATGAACAATTCCAGTGCCGCAGTTGATTGACTTGAATACTTCTTAGGAAAAAGTGATCGAGCATGTATACCTTTCATACATGTGTCCCATGATGCTTTTATTCCACAATCTACAACATGTAATCCTTCAGCCAAGCTGTTCGGTTCCATTTTTCGAATTGCTGCTGGATCTCAGTGTCCTAATTTACGATGCCAGTCGTGTATATAATTTTATCCGCTTTGTTTTTGTTCAATTCAATGGGTAAACCGTTTTTAACGAAGCGGAGAACAGAGAATATCCTTCCATACAGTACTTCATTTGCGTTAGCGAATTTTAAATTGTCCATACGTCCTTAAACATCAATTTACCACTTCCTTTACCTTTAACTACCACCATTTCCCACCCCAATAACCACTGTTATGCGATAGTAAAAGCGAGTCGTGAGAATTGCATCGGTTCCGTATCGGTTTTTCTGTTGGGCAACCAATTAAATAAGTATCTAGTGTTTGTGTTTGGGTGAAATACGTCGGTGAAGCTGCCGGAGGTCTGCGGGTGGGGGCGAACCGTCCTCTTGCGTTGTCGGTTTTCTACTCGGAAATAGAGGAATGGAAAGGAAAAGGTGGAGGAGACACGCATTGATCGTCTAAGCGAAGTTAGTGTTAATTTTAAAACAATCGCGCGCGTGGAAGAGCGACGTAAGAAACAATATAAATTAGCGAAGAAGCCGCGAAAAGTTTTCATCTAATACGCATATGAGAGAAATATAACGTTCACCACAAAAGTTCATTCATTTTCTTCAACGTCCACTAGGCAGTAATAATTTTAATTATACAGGGTTAGTCATAAACGTGTGGCTCACCAAAGTGCATTTTTCTTATCACCCTGTATGTTCGATATTTTAATTGTTTCAATGTTAATCAAAACTTCTAAGAAGCATAATGCATCTAAATTCAGTCGTTTCTGGGTTATCGAGTTATGAAAGTTTGAAACAATTCGCTATTACGCTTTTTGTTAATTTCAAAATATGCCTTTTATCCACAAAGAAAAAGGGACAGAGCTTCACCGGCAATGGATATAGTCGAGAAGGCCGCGAAGAAGTCGGTACGCGTCAGCTCGCCAAGGGCGACTCGCCACCGGACCACTCGCCACCGACTGACTCGCCAACGGGACAACTCGCCAACGCGACAACTCGCCAATGCGACAACTCGCCAACGGACGACTCGCCACTGCGACAACTCGCCAACGAAATATTTTTCCCTGTTTAATGTGTCGTGTCTACAGTTTTTCGATAAACTTTTTTTTACAAAATTAGGGAAATTGACTATTGCATTTATGGGATGCATTTGTATGACACATTAAACAGGGAAAAATATTTCGTTGGTGAGTGGCGAGTTGTCCGTTGGCGAGTTGTCCCATTGGCTAGTCGGTCGGTGGCGAGTGGTCCGGTGGCGAGTTGACCGTGTCCCACTCAAGTTGTAGGTCTGGATTGTTCCTAATTTAAGAAACACTTCAAAATATTCCCTAACAAGGAAATAAAAGCGTTGTCACACCAGAGGTTGGAGTTTCGGGTCCGCACTACTTAAGAGGAATTAGTTTTAATGGTTCCAGTTCTATGGCTTCAATAATCTTTTCTTCCGGTTCCAGTCTTTTTAAATTTATTTTAGTTATTCATTTTGCGTATTTTATTTAAGGGTTCCAACATAAATAAATAAAATTAGCATTAAGCATGACTAATTATTGAAAAAAAATCATGCACAAAGTTAAAGTGCACTATTATGCGCGTTCGTCTCACCTCTGTCAACGCTCTGTCACATATTCTTCAACTCGATTACTGTTTTTAATTCATTTTCGGTATTAGTTGCTCTAAAATATTTTCAGGTTTTTTTTGTATAAGGTTAAGTTGATATAAATAAGTGGAAGCTCTGAATAAAAGTGAAAATTTTGATTTTTGATCTTTGAAATTCATTGCAAATTTTACAATGAGCGCAATTCTTGCCCAATGAAATAAATATGTTTTTTTCTTTCGCGACCTCAAAGGAAGCTCGTAAATTGCCCTGTCATCTCGGTTTTCAATGAAAGATTGGTTTAAAGGACTCATGGATATATCCACTTATAGTTCCTTTAAAATATATTGCAGTCTCAGATTGTTAATCTGACAACTGTTTGGTGAATCAACCTGGTCAAAGTGCCACAACTTGTTGAGATAGACTAGAAAAAAATCCAAAACTTTATTAACCGAAACGCTAAATACCTATCAAATAAATCGAATACCTATTTGCTGTAAAAACCTGATTCCGCAAAAAAAAACTTTTCGTTAGGAAAGAATCCTAAGTTCGCCCAAAAACGTATAATAAAAACCCATATGAGTCCTCAGATTTTAGCGTCAATGTATCCCCGCCCGCACCACTTGTTGTGCAGAGGCAACGAGTAAGGAGAAACAAACCAAAAAGTAATAGAAAAGAACAGCTACCGTCTGGTTAAATTTATCGTGGGGAAATCGAGACGATATTATGTAGGATTAGTACAAGAAGTTCTTGAAGAATACTTGTTCTTAACCAATTTTATGCGACATAAAATACAGGGTTTTTTTTATCTAGAGGACCCAGATAAATGTCCAGCCATGGCTAGATACAAGATGAAAACCATATATGTATGAACCGAAAGTTTTCCATACACCTGATGGAATGATAGATATACAAATGTTATGTACGGGTATTATACAGTGCGCAAAATTTAACTAACATACAAATCTCCTATGTTCAATTCTTAAATATACAGCTCAAATACCTCTTAAGATTTCATCTTTTTCAAATGGTTGCCAATAAACGTAAATGTCTGAATTATTTATTAAATTAAGATTATTAATTATTAATAAAATGCATACAAAAGAAGACAGGCGTATTTCAATAATCACAGGATTTATTTGCTAAATATTCTGTTATAAATTCCGTCAATTGGCACAATGCACAACAGCATTAAAAAATCTCATGTGATGATTGAATTGTTAATGAATATTACACCAGAAAAAGAACTTGAACTGTTTTAATTGTCGAAATTAAGTTAAATATTTTAGCGTAGGTACTACGTATCTAAAATAACTTCTAAGTTTTTTTTTTATTTACACTGCTGTCAATTTGTGCGTAAGGTGGGTTACATAACTGATAGGCATATTAATGCATTGACTTGTATATTTACGAATTGAACATAGGAGATTTGTATGATCAGAGTTAAAATTTACGCACTGTAGGTAGCAGCACGTTTGCATTAACGATATACTTTTTAGCGCATTTCCACAAAAATAAAAAAAAATGCGCTATTGTGGCCACTTTGTCCGTCCGTCCGTCCGTCCGCTCGTTTTGCGACGCTACTAGTTTTTTATCTTAAGAGCTATTGTTCTACTTTTTTCGCTATTTGGTTCGTTATGGTGTCGAGTCTTGTACCAAGGAAGGAATTTTTTCTGTACCGCTTACAAAAAAAGTTATTGTAACAAAAACAAAAAACCGTTTTTTACATGTTCCATAATTTTACACTTTTGTCGTTTATTAACGATCCTAGAGATCGTTTATAATTTTGCATTGCTATCTGTCGCCTGCCGGTTGGTCTCTCCGTCTGTTCCTTTGTCTGTCTGTCCATCTATCTGTCCGTGTGAATGTGAAGGATAACTTTGTTTAGAAATGTTCGATCGCTTTTACATCTCCGTTAGTTATGAACTGAATTGCATGAAATTCAATATGGGCATAGTTTTAGCCATATAATACGCAATGCCAAAAGTTGAATCGAATCGATTCAAAATTCACAGTGCCCTTTTCGCATCTCGACCATTTATAAACCGAATTGCAAACTTTTTTATTTATGGAAGAATTTAAACGAAATTTGATACATAGGCAATTGGGATAAAGGAAAATCAAACGCCAATTTCAAAATTTGGTTTTGCGCATGCGCAGTGCCAACTTTTTTATTTATGGAAGAATTTAAATGAAATGTGATCACTTGTGAGGCACTTGGAATAAAGGAAAATCTAGCGCCAGTTTCAAAATTCTATTTTGCGCATGCGCAGTGCCAACTTTTTTATCTATGGAACTATTTAAGTGAAATTTGATACTTAGTCGCTTGGAACAAAGGAAAATCTAACATTAGTTTTAAAATTTAGGTTTGCGCATGCGCAGTTCCAACTTTCTTATTTAGAAAAGCATTGAAGTGAAATTCTTCTCATAAACTAAAATTGAAGTAGCACGTCAACAATGGATTGCCCATGTGCAACGCTATCTTTCATATTTGTGGCCGGATTTTTACGATTTTAACACAAGTTGCATCTTACAAATGGGAAATGAATGCAAGTGGAAATGCGCTTTATGTAAATCGTTTACGATTACTTTTTAACTTGTTTAAGCTTACAGCAAAATTTTGTAATCCTGTGACGCTATGCATTGGGCTATTGTAGATTGTTAAACAGAACTAATTTTTTTAAAAGACAGTTTAGGCTTTAGGGCCAAAGAAAGTAGTGTAGGGATACTGTACACTCAGGAAATCACATAATCATAGGCATGGGCGCCGCCAGGAAATTTTGTAGGAGGGGGCAAGCTCACCATTAATATGGACGTGAGTGGAGGGGATAGGGTATGCAAACTCAAGGTTACGTGCCAGTAACAAACTTATTGCGTTTCATTTTATTTAAACAAAAACATAACTCTTCTATTATCTGTTCCAAAGAGATCTATGCACTTCTCAACAAACTCTTCCTGATTGTCTTTTATAAAATGTCTATGTACGGACATCAAACAAAGACCACTAAGTCTGTTGTTTCCAGTCTTGTACCTAACCTCACCTAGTTCTCATTCTCAGTTTCCCCAGATTGATCATTGATATCTAGAGTACAGTAAAGAATAAGAATGATTCACTCGCCATATATAGCAATAGCAAACGGCAAACCGCACCGCGTTCACTTCACAAATCACAAACACAACTCGCTTAAAGTAAACTGTTAACTGAAGTGTGAGAAATAAATGATGCAATGTTGCAATAATGCAATCCAAACGCAACACGACACTGAGTCGCTGACCTGACGCAGTCGTGACTCGAATCGCGCGCGAACGAAAAGTTAGTATTAAGTATAAGTATTATAATTATTATACAACAGTAGATGAATACGCAACGCGTGGGAAACGATTACATGGCCCTTGCCCGTTGTGTTGCTTACGACAAGTGTTACCTTTTATTTTTCACTTTTTCCAGGGGGGGGCCAAGGCCCCTCCTTGCCCCTATGTAGCGGCGCCCATGATCATAGGTATTATAATTACAATGGAAACACGACCAGAATCGAATCGGATATTTTCATAATATATTGAGCCAAGCGTACACAGTCAACCTTATACACCTAAATTCCTACGTGCCTATAATAAAATACCACTTCCCCGCTTCCTTTGATGTGTAAAGGTAACATCGCAGTGAAGCCTTTAACCAAACCTTAATCTTTAATGAAGCCCGAACGTAAATAAATCAAACTTGGAGGAAAAGCAAATACCTAAAATAAATTTAAAGTTACAAACTTAGTAATACATTTAAGCTTATTCAAACTATGAACTAAATCTGCGCTGGAACTTTTCGACATTAAACCGACATTTTTACTCACCAGTCAAACGATTTACAGTTCTGCACGTATAGTTTTTATAAGAGTCACTTGGCCCCACATTGCTGATGTATAGATCACCATTAGCCAGTACAACGTATTTTCCTCCAATATCTGTGTTAGGGTAGATATTAACCGTTCCATCTTGCACCCAGGATGTCACCATTACGTATTCGGCAACATAACTCGATATCTTGCATTTTAAAACAGCCGTATTTCCCATTATAACGTACCCATCATAAACCTGGACGTCGTATTTTTGTTTAACAACTGAAAAGAGAAGGGACATATTAATAACTAATGGTCTTCTGGACTTCCTATATAACATTATTTACACAATGTGTATAAAACTTTAAGAAAATTACAAAGTTCGAATAGCTTTCAGAAACTCTCGGATCACGTTAAATTTGCAATATTCCTAAAAGTTGTTTTAATATTTGATGCCTTCGGCGTAACTTCAATTTAACTCTGAGTGATGAACTGAAGCGCAAAAAGGGAAAAAAGGGTCGACCTTAAGGATACTTCTTGCCTTTCCCATTATTTGCATAACCCAAACTTTTTCTAAGCAATCTTTTAAAACTTCCAAGTCTCGGCCCCTGATCAATATGTATTCAATTGGAATATATTTCGCTCATAATTTGAATGTTGTACAAAACTATCCACACGCGCAACGAAAGGTATTCGTGGAAGCTCGACAACTATTTTGATTAAAATGTACTGAAAAGCTATTGACACAGCTACCGTTAAAACTGTACACGATTGAATTTCAAAGGGCACTCCGCAGACCGCAAACGACCAGACGTTGTAAATAAATCCTCCAATCGATTTTCTAAACATTTTAAATAAAAAGGCGCTCGGAAACTTATGATTTACGTCATGTTTCGTTGACAGTATTTTCACGAAAATGTGATAAAATACAGCCGGGATTGACAGTAACTTTCCCAAAAATTTATTTCCGGCTGATTAATATTAATCCGATTTGAGTGTATTTCAAATCAAACATTTGGATGAAAACTTTGCTATTGTATGCGCTTTGTCTGTTGGGAGATATACTGGGAATCGTAACCAGAGAAACCAACACAATAGTTGTGGGCAGTTGCGAGTTAAAAACGTATTGTCACGTTATTATAATGTTATGTGTTTTCATGTTAATAAACGGCATACATAACATTGTCTGTCTGGCTGTCTATTGACGGGCAATTGTTACATTGTCGCAATGGCGAGTCATTTGGTGACGAGTTGTCACATTGGTGAGTTATCGCCTTGGCGAGTTGTCCCGTTAGCGAGTCAGTCAGTGGCGAGTGTCCGATGGCGAATCGCCCTTAGCGAGTTGTCACGTACCGATTCAATTAGTGTAAAAGTGTACAAACAATTTCAGTTGGAAGTGTAGAGGAGACTGACCTCTGAACACACATCTTTCTTTGACATCTATGTTTTATGTAACAATTGCCCTTCAATAGACAGACAGAGAATGTTATATGTATGCCATTTATATACTTTTTTCTACAACTGTCAAAAAAACCTGTCATTTTCTGACAAATTTCAGAGAGCGAAGTACTAGATTTTTAAACGGTTAATTAATAAGTAAGGTTGCTCCTAGCAAAGCAACTTGCGCGAAAACGTGAAAACAGTAAAAAAAAGTATTTCGCGCACGGAAAAACTTGTACCTAAACAGAAAATTAATGAATAATCCGTTCAGTTCTAGAAAAAATGTTGTATATAATACGAGCGCGAAGTTATTTCGCCAAGGGCCACTCGCCTCCAGGCCACTCGCCACTGACTGACTCGACAACTCTCCACTGCGACAACGCGACATTTCGCCATTGCGACAATTTGTCAACGGATGACTCGTCATTGCGAAAACTCGTCAACGAAGAATTTTTGTTCCCGTTTAATATGTCGTACAAATGAAAATTCAATTTGCATTTCAATGATATTGCAAATGGTTAGATCACAAACAAAACACATTGCCAGGTTCTTTCCAGTTTTGCATTTCCTTTATTTATTGTTAAACACAATATATCATGTATAATGATCACTAGTTATGTAAAAAATAGATTCCTCGGTTTCCAAAAAAATGCAAAGCGCCAACGTAGACAGGAGTAGTAAGAGGTCAAATCGCCCATCCCGTTTTTTATGACGTCACATCTGCCGCGCTCGGATGGGCTGTTTCATTTTGTGGCGGTTAAATTGAATTTGTACGGGAGATTTGAATTTTGAATATCCGGATGTCCGCCATTTTGTCACGGTAAGTTTGAATTTGTGCGGGAGTATTAAATTTTTGAATTTGCGGATGTGGGCCATTTTGTTGTAAATTTGAATTTGTGTGGGAGATTTGAATTTTTTACTGTGATTGGCTTTGGAGTATTCTTTGGTGCAGGTTTATTATAGATCCGGGAACTGAGCTCACTTCTCTTGATGACATCTAATTTACATTAAGAGGCCGTTCTCTGCATACGACTAGGAAAGCTCTTCAATAGAAATTATATGGGTCGAATAGCGTGTCGAGGTGTGGGAATTTTGAGTAAATTGGATTCTATCCCGTGTTGTTAGGTGCCGATGTAAAGATAAAGGACACATCTATGCCTCTATTGTAACAGATTTTTGATTTAATACTCGAATTTTGCATAAATAATTGTGGAAGTAAGTACTTGATATTTATGGTATTTTCGGGTGCCGTAATTATTAATATTTAAAAAATATCAAATAGTACATTATATATCAAGGTAGAGAAGTACAGTATTATTGCCTGAGCACCAAGATTACATCTCGAGGCGCTTGCGCCGAAGGGTGTAAGGTGCGAAGGCAATAATAGACTTCTCTACCGTGGTATATTTATACTATTTTTTTCACTACTAGTGCTTGAAGTTCTCTAAATTAACATATTATATTGATAAGAAAGTGAACGGTTGGACAGAATTGTTTGTTTCTTAATTTAACATGTCAATCAAGTACGTGGAAGTACAAGTCAAACAGGCCGTATTTTGTTCTGTCATTGAGATATTTTCAAAGAGTAATTTCGTTCCAATTTTTTCAAAATGTGATAATTTTAGGTATGTAATTTCTCTGGAAATGGCGGATGGTGGCAATTATTCATTTTAGAGAACGTTTATTCAGCGAAATTTCAGGTTGTGTTTTCTAAAAGTGACAGCGTGTCAGTTCTCATTATTGACTACTAGTTAATAATGTCCACATTATTAACCACTTTGAACAAATGCCGAGAAAGCCTATACTTTACAAGTGGAAAAAAGGTTAATAATCATGTCATCAGACGCTAGTAGTGAAAAAAATCTGTTACAAGAGAGGCGTAGAAAAAAGGTTTTAGAATCCAACGTGACTTTGTTGATGTTACTAACTAACACCGTTTTCGAAAAAATCGCTAAGAACGGAGCCTAAAATGCGTAACTATTTCATATACGTAACCGCCTCTTAAGGTAAGGGTTGCGTTTTTATGTTTTACTCATCTGTGGTCTATACGTGGGCATTTGTGTTCGAAATTTCTGCAGGAAATGCTCCCATTTGCCTTTGTATTTTCAGCAGAACGATCATTTCTGGATGTGCTCGATACCAACTGGTTCCGTGTCGTTCACTTGTCTTTTGTATGACCCGGTTGTTTACTTTTTAAACACACATTATAATTTTTGGGACGCGGACATTCATTGGCATAATGTTCCTCGGACGCACTGCCTCTTTCGGTTTGCCGCCTGCGCTCTCTAACTACCTGTGGCATCGTGTCTCACGTTTTCCCCATCGAATAATATTGGTCTCGCCACGATTTTTGTAAAGTGCCTCGCCCCAATCCAAACTCAATCTTCACGTGGTGTTTGTTTCTCTATGCGTCTCTACGAGACTATTACACTTTCACGTAAGTTAAAAGAATTCAAACTGTGGCTACGAACGGATTTTCGTTGGGGTTGTGCGAGGGTGCACCATCTCCTGTTAAAATCAACAGTTTACTTTTGTTTTTTTTTTGTATGCCGTACAACGTACATCATTCTATTCGTAATAAAGAATGCTACTAAATACAGTATGTATTTTGTTACGGACCATATACAAAAATAAAGTTCATGATTTCTTCCAAACGAAAATTTGTCAAGGCTGTCTTGTAGAGCTTAAATAGTGGCAATGGGAAAGTGTTTTTTTTAATTTTTTGTTCAAATAAAATAAGATCAAAATCGGTAACTTTTGGTTTTTCTGCTATATCTTCCGAAGTAATAGGAATTTTTGTTTTTTTTTACAGCATGATAATTACTCATTAATTGTGCAACTTTTCCTTGATTTAACCGTCGTCGTATCTTCTATGGTTCCTGAGATCCCCATGATATACCTCCTTATCTTGGACTCAATGTATAAGACGAATGTGGAAACTAAATTAACCATTGAAAAGCCAAATACAAGCAATAGAGATGAAATATATATGGAAGGTATAAAACATAACAAATAGTGCACGAAATGTCAGAGTGGGGAAAAAATTATCAACTACGATGGTTTGGCCATCTGAATAGGATACGTGAGTAAAAAAAATATTGGAAAGAGAACTAGAACAAGCCCTAACAGGGTTGGAGAACTAAAAGTTATTCTTAAATCAAAAGACCAAATGTAGAAAGATGCCAAAAACTGCCCAAAAACAAGATTTACTTTTTTTCTGTATTTATAATAATGTTATTATGTGATTTGCCAATTTAAAGGTCCTGGCGGTTACAATAAAGTAAATTATTATATTTTTTTCAACGTTAAGAGAAGTGGGTTGAGAATTTTTAAAATCTTCTTTTTCATACTTTTTCATTATTTATTAAGCCGGTTAGTAGTGCCTGAGCCGTTTATTATCGAGGTTTTACGAATGTTGGTTCGTTTTTTAGGGGAATTTCTCGAAAGAAAAAATTTCTCTCATGTGATGGTTTTGTCCGTCTGTCTGTTTCTCGTCTAACTCGAGAACGAAAAGAGACAGCGGTGTCAAACCTTCGCCAATCGATTTCTACGAGTTCAAGGATCAGAGCTATTGAATACAAGCCGGATTAAAAGTCTGGTTTCCGAATGCGACTTGAATGGCAAAAAATTCCCCTTCTGAATATCGTATGCAATTCTTCTTGTTTTACTTGACGTCAGCGCCAGGCGCGAACATATGCCAATATCTCCAATGCATATACAATTTTGGACGAAAAAGTTCTACCTGACGATAGGGTAAAAGGTATAACCACTTATATCTTGGGAAAGGGGTGTCAGAAAGGGGTTCTCATAAAAGAGGTGTGGCAGGTCTAGGCGAGGCGGGA